ATATATATATATATTCCAATCGAAAGCAGTTATTTTAAAGAGTGAAGTGAAGGGAAAGGGAAGTGAAGGTGCAGTGCAAGAGAGAACCTTTAATTATTTTCCACGGCCCTAGACTAAGGATTTAGACCTTTTTTATGTGATGGCCATACAAATAATAGGGTTGTCTGGTTTCAAAAATTGTTGTGGATGTATAGGCTATATACAGGAAATAAGGGGCCAAAATTACACCTTTTGGTGTACAACAGCTTGTCACTGGAACAGGACCCTTAAAAGGACATATTTGTTCCTTTTTTACCCCTAATAGGTAGGCCTACATGTTAGTACCTTATGGGTACGACTTACTACTCTTAAGGTACTAATATGTATGGTGTACTGCTAGGTTTCAAGCTGTTGTACCTCAAAAGGTACAATTTTGGCCCTTTTTTATGCTTGGCCTGGATAGGTGTGAGATTTCCCAGCCTGAAATTGCATCCCAGTCCGGCCCTGATCCCAGCCCAAAATCACACAATGGTTGTGCCAGTGTTGCTGTGTCGGGATGAACAAGTATAGTAATAGTTTTGATTGTGCCAAAGATCAATTTTGGATTGAATTGATTGATTATTTAGTTCCCTCTGCATGGAAAAGTTAAACATGAAATAGAAATTCTCCCTATATACACTGTAAAAATATTTTTCAAGAAAGATTATTTGAATACCTTTTACAAGTAAATGCTATTACAGTTTTTCTACTTTAAAACTTTTAATTAAATATGTTAATTGCCATTATTTATTTGTGAAATTTACTGGCAATTTCTGATTGAAAATTGTTTCAAAGTAAATCCTACACTTTTTTTTGTCGGTGTATTTTCCAAATGCATGTCATAGATTTTATCGTAAACAAGTCATCCGTGCATATGTTATGATATTTTTACATCATTTTTTTTCTTCTTTCTGTTAACGTATGCTGGACTTTTCCTGTCATTTTGTCCATACAAACTTGGCCCCTTTTTACAATCGACTACAAGTTCGCATTAAGATCTGCCTCCATCCAATCAACAACTGATGAATTATTCTATGCATATGGAGTTTCTATTGACATAAATTACATTTATACTGTGGTTGAGCCAATACGAGACACAAGCATTAACTAAACACTTGTTATTTAAAGAAGTCTAGTAGCCCTGTAAACCCTACCTTGTCACAAGTATTATAGCTGTTGCTTTTGTGAGATAATAATGAAGGTCAGGGGTTTGGATACAGTCTGTTTACAGCTGGAAGTATGGATCTCCTAAAACTAATCTTTTGTTAGCCATTGCATAAGATAAGTTTTGGTTATAATTAGGGCTGGACGATATGGCCAACATTTATATCACGATATATTTCTTAATTTCAGTCGATACGATATAATTCCGATATCGATATGAACACTATTAAAAAAGCCTCATAAAAATGGCCAAGAACGTCCACAACAGATGTCTGTATCTACAAACTTATGAAAAATTAATTTGCCAACTCTATGAAACCTACTCCTATAAAACGATATAATATTTTAGGAAAAAAATGGCGCAAATAAATAATTGTTCACCTTTTATTGGTATTTAGCCTTCATACAAATAAGAAATGTGAAATCACTGTCAAATAAATCTCAGACTCTCCTTATTAATATTAATATTTTTTTACTTCAAACTATAGGCTAACATACCAGTCAAAAAGTTTTTGAACAGTAAGATTTTTCATGTTTAAAGAGTTCTCTTCTGCTCACCAAGCCTGCATTTATTCGATCCAAAATACAGCAAAAACAGTAACATTTTGAAATATTTTTACTATATTTATTACTATATTATATGTTTTCTATTTGAAAATATAATTTATTCCTGTGATTTCAAAGCAGAGCTTTAGCATCATTACTCCAGTCACATGATCCTTCAGAAATCATTCTAATATTCTGATTTGCTGCTCAAAAAACATTTATTATTTTGATTAAACAGCCGAGTATATATTTTTCAGTTTAAATAGTAAAAATATTTCAAAATGTTACTGCTTTTGGTGCAAGAAACATAAAACATGTTAAGAAACATAAAAAATCTTGCGGTTCAAAAACCTTTGATTGGTAGTGTAGGCTGATTATTCTTATAGATTGAAACGTGCATTAACCAGGATAACGAGTATGAAACATGCTCCGAGTTGCTTCAGAAAACAAAAAAATAGAGCAACAACAAAAGCATGTTGCTGGAAATGGGTTTATTATTGAAAATGCAAACTGCTTGTCTGCCAGCAGGAGGCGCTGTGAGCGGTGGAACTAGCGGTTTCTCCAGTAATGGCTGTAACATGAACGCTACTTTATCAGATAAAAATGCCATCTAAACTATTCTGAAGACAGTCTGTTCCCTTCAGAGATACATTCATATAAAACACCCACGACGCGTTTTGATTTTGAAACGTGCAGTGCTCATGTTTATTCAAACGCCAAAAATAAATCAATGTATGGGAAACACTGGTAATGTATATCGAAATATCGGAAATGTGTTTAAAAATCATATCACCGTTATTGAAAAAAATGATATCGCGATACATATTGATATTGAATTATTGTCCAGCCCTAGTTATAATGTGCCTTTTCTTTGTGAATGTGATAACCTACTTTAGATAAAGCAGGTTTACACATTGACTTTCTGACTGAACTATGCTCACACTGTACTAACTCAAAACATCAAAGATTCACAGCTTAACTAGCCCAGCTCAGAAACCGTGGAAGCTACAGCAGACTGGTAGAGACCATCGGATTTCCTCTCTTTAAGTCCACTTCATACTTAAATGTTTACACTAGACCTTTTCTTCCTGTGCCTGGATCTGTCACTTTAACGTTCTTTCTACATCAAATAAAACAAAACAGAAGTGTCCCATTGGACAGGAAGTGACATGCAACAGAAGTGTCACTTTCACCTTTTGCTCTCACCAAGATTTGAGTTGGAAAGAGGGACGTGTCGTTCTGGAAAGGATGATGAGTCAGCACTTCAGGCAGATGTGCTTTGTCTGTGTTTCCAGCAGCGCCAAACACGCACACTGGCCAGAGTGCAGTAACATATTATCACATGATTCAAAAACAGTACTTAGTGGTCGAACTTATAAAATCACTTTCTGTAACCAAGACATTTTCAAACGTGTTTTTGGTACCGTCCTGTAACTAGAAAACATCCAGAACTAGATTAAAAAAAAATTCTTAAGTAAATGATAATGGTGCTTGTGCATGCAAAAAGTTATCTTTAGTTTTTACATTAACATCTATGCATTTTCAGACGTTTTATCGAAAACAACTCGCATTGCATTGAATATGTAAATTAAAAAATGTAACCAGTGCATTTCCTGGGGATTGAACCCATGATCTTGGTGTTGCTAGCGCTATGCCCTACAGTTTGAGCTACAATTTTTATTAATGTTTTTTATCTTTATGGCTCAAGTCCCTTCTTCAGGATTATTCGCCTGATATATTGTCCCGCAAGGAAAATCACAAGTTTGATTGCTTGGGAAAGTAATAGCCTACAGTAACTCTGTTCAGAAGGCTGTATGATTTGAGGCATCATTCATGTCTGTTACGTGATGGGTTACATGCTCAGGGTTAAGGGTTTGTTCAAGCCCCTAACCTTAACAGTATATAAACAGTAGTAATAGTGATACTTGTGTTAGCATAACAATTCTTGCCTATGTTGAATCATGGAGATAACTAAACACTGCTATATTGTTGCTCCTTCCCATAAAAGGAAGGATGTGTTTTTGTAAGGACCATGTGGAAGGCATACTGCACACACAAACAGTGGGCTTTAGAGAGCAGTTTAGTGCCACTGATCTTGGGGAAAGTTGTACAGTCTGGAGAATGCCTGCCAGCCAATCCTTACCTTCCTTGTGCTATGATTTCATCATGGATTATTAGCGTGGAGCACATTATATTCTCCCATTTCTTCCCTGGAGCCCTCGGGAAGTTACGCTCTTATTTCAAAGTCTCCCGTTTTTCTTTTCCCTCCCCCAATGTATATTTTCACGGTATCTCTGAATTCTTTTTGCATTTTTCCATCTGAATAATTGAGGGCTCCAACAATTTTCAATTTGAATTTAAAAAGTGTAATTTCCAGGCTTGGAAAAGTCATGGATTACTTTGGATTACTCATGGTTTGTAAATATTTATGCCATTAAAAAAATCTGTTAAAAATGATTAATAATTGAATAATAATTAAATGCATTTACTGAATAGCCTGTTTTGAAAGAAGTCTTTTATGCTCGCCAAGGCTGCATCTATTTGATGAAAAACACAAAATAAAATGGTAATACTGTGAAATATAATTACAATTTAAAATAACTGTTTTCTGTTTTAAAAAGTAATTTATTTCTGTGATTTTCAGCAGCTGTTACTCCAGTGTCACATGATCCTTCCAGAAATCATTGCTGATTTGGTGCTTATTGTTATCAGTGTCGAAAACCGTGATACATTTTTTTTCTTCATTTTTTTTTAAACAAAAATCTTCTGTATCATTCTAAATAACAGTCTTGGTGCAAAAAAATTAATCTTAAGGCGTATTATTTATTATTTTTGTATTTTACATTTTATCTGTCGACCACTAAAAAGAAACACCTGGAAAAGTCATTGAAATTCATCGGTCAAAAAGTTGTGGGATGACTGATTATTGCACTGTAAGCAGGGGCGCCGTAATGGGGGAAGGACGATTCCAAGGGCCCTGATCAGAGGGGCGGCCTGACACGATCACATGATTTCTCCCGGGGGGAAATTTCTACCGATCCCCCCTCCCCCCGTTCTAACCCTGGAGTGATGTTTAATTAATGCAGTTCATATACATGCTCCTTCATTGCAGTGTGATTTAGTGGAGTTCTGCTCCTAAATTAGCAGCATTCATGACTTTATGCACTGGGAATTCAGCAAGATTACACAACGCTGTTGTTAAACCTTTGGCATGTGTTTGAAAAGGCCCTTAAAATTACTACTTTCATAAACCAGAACCACAACTTGAAACCTCGTAGATCTCTGCTTTGTTTATTTCAGATTAGTTAAAAAAATTAGCTTAAAACAGCCCCACATTTCATAACAGAAGTGTTATTTTTTTTTAAAGAGCAGGTCATATGGGTATTTGAAAAATATCTCTTTTGCAGTTTATAACGTAGATATCCTTAAATGAAAACAATCTGCAAAGTTGTTCATCAAAAACGTGCATGATAAATAAAGATATTGTCTCTCAAAAGAGAGAGTCGATTCTGAATCGCCTTAACGAGTCGTCATATTTTCGAATCTTTTGTCTGTTACCGGTATACGATATTATTGTCTTACTGAAGTAGTTCTGATAATTCGCTGTGAACCCACTATTTCCTAAGAATATGTCAATTAATGTAGACTGATGTTGTTCTAATTACTTTGTTTAATAATAAAGAATGTAGTGTAGCACACAAACCTTATAATCATTGTGAAATTGCTGTTTATTTTTCTGCACAGACAGTTATAGGGTTAAGGCTGGTGCGCCTGTGATACAGCTGTTCTGCGTTCTGATTAAAAGTTAAGACAGAGCGTCTTTTGTCTGTTGTTCATCAAACATTACAGTAGACATATTTTGGTTTACAAACTGTATTGTTTCATCAGTTAGTCACGTTTGCACTTGGCTAACGTATCCACCATTATTGTTTTAAGTGTTCACAGTTTAGCAGCTAAACTTTAGCTGTGGGCACGATTCGCTTGCATAAGGGTTTTTGTATTTTATGTCATTATTATAAGAACGGATTGGAGCACTATATTATTATTTTATGCAAATGTGCTTTGTCAATGGTAGCTCTCGCTAACTTGCTCAAGGACTCCTCTCTGTGCCAATCACAACAGGCTTGGCCAGCTGACCAATCAGAGCAGAGTAGGCTTATGGAAGAGAGGGGTTTGCTTGGAATGAATCGTTTCGAAATCATTGGCAAATTACTAATATTAAGTGTATATTCTGAGAAAATTACAATGTTTTCTGACCTTATATGCATTTAAACCTGTTGTAGGGGACTCCAACACAATATTAGGACCCTTTAAAATACAATATGACCTGCTCTTTAAGAGATGTATCAAAGTTTATAGCAAACCTAACTCTAACATTTTATTGAAATGCTATTTAAACATCTTCATTTCTAAGTGTTTCATTCCACTTCTGACAGTATGTTAATTTGTTCTTTGTTTTTAGGCCAGTGGATGCTGCATCAGAAGGGACCAATCCTGTCCCAGATTCATTGTGGAGGCGTTACAGCGAGTTTGAGCAACTTAGAAACTATTTGTTAGTCACCTATCCATTTTTGGTGGTTCCGCCATTGCCTGAAAAACGGGTATGCAAACAAGATGCCTTGGTTACTGCTGCTTGTAAATGTGATTTGCATTCAGGCACTGTAACTTCATGCTTTTTGCAACAGGCTGAATTTGTTTGGCACAAGCTGTCAGCAGACAACATGGACCCTGACTTTGTGGAGAGGCGTAGGGTGGGACTAGAGAACTTCCTGCTCCGAGTGGCCTCACACCCAGACCTGTCCACTGACAAGATCTTCTATTCGTTCCTCACTGAGGTAGAGAGTTCTCTCTAAAGCTGTCTGAACAAAGCAAAGGGTGCATCAAACCAGTGGCATGCCACTCACACTTTGAAATAGACGTTCTATTTGCATTTTACTTACTGACCTTTCCTTGTGTTCAAATCTCTTGATATGAAGATTTTGAACATTTTTAATTTATAATGAACTTTAACTAAGTAAATTAATTTATATTTCTACTATGCTGTCAATTAAAAAAATTAAAATCAGTTGACAGTCTAGTAGAAATAGAAATGAATTAAATAAATAATTGCATATACAATAACAATGAAAAGGTTTTGTTGAAAAAATGTTTTTTGTAAATGTTTTTGAAAGTTTTTTTTTTTTAATTTGAGCAAAAATTGTGAAAACATTAGTATTAGCAAATAATACTACAAGTTTTCTATTTGAATATACTTTATAATGTAATTTATTCCTGTGATGGCAAAGCTGAATTTTCAGCATCATTACTCCAGTCTTCAGTATCACATGATCCTTCAGAAATTATTCTAATATGCTGTGCTGATTTGGTGCTCAAGAAACATTTCTTACTTTTATTTTTGTGTGTTGAAAACAGTTGTGCTGCTTAATATTTTTTGTGGAAACTGTAATACATTTACAGTTTAATGCTGAATAATAAAAAATCTTACTGATCCCAAACTTTTGAAGTTGCTAGTGTAAGCTTATCAATATCCTACAGCCCAGCAATTCATTAATTTTTGTGAATTTAAATACTTGAACTAAATTAATTTGTTAAACTGACAGACCTAATGTCACTTTTGCCATTTGAAAAGAAGAAAGATATGTTTTAACTGGCATTTCATGCTGATAATGCCCTTTGTCAGTGTCAGAAATTGCATCCTTTCTCTGTCCCACAGGAAAATGGTTGGAAGGAAACCGTGTTTGAGACGGGATTTCAGGCGAAGGTATATCAGCACTTTCCAGTTCATTGGGTTCTTTCTCTCTTTTCTACCCACAACACTGTTATTTATATATTGCTTCTCACCATAGGTCAATATTCATATGTTGATATGAGGCTGACTAAATATGTGTTGATTTCAAATAAAAATTGTGTGAGGTAACCGAATTGCTACTGCGGTGAAGAATCTGTTATCAGTACACTGTAGTTTAAGTAAACAGGCACAGGAAGTCTGTTGGATCGTTGTGGATCAAACCCGAAAGAGCCGCAGTGTTTTAGTGTACTGTATATTATTGCCATATTGCAGTGTTTATCTGATCTCAGTCGTTTGAAAAGATTGTTGTAAGGAGTGCCTGTAATTTAGTTTTACACCATCTGAAAAAACAAAACCCAAACATGAATCTGTCTGTCAACATTTGGCCTTTGTCATTCTTACAGGCCGATTCAAGATTAAAGGCTTTAAATGCAACATTCAGAGTGAAGAATCCAGACAAGTAAGTCATTTTTACAAACCGTGTTACGCGGTGTCATGAAATGCATTAAGATATGGCTGTGCTGTTTGTTAACACTGAAACTAACCTTGACCCGTGTGTGTGTGTGTGTGTGTTTCACAGGCGATTTGCAGAAATGAAACACTACGGTGATGAGCTGCAGTCTGTTATTTCGCAGCTGCTGAGAGTTCGGGCGGTGAGTGTAAACAACGTCAAGACAGTTGAATATGCAGCTCAATTTCTTTCACTCCAACAAATGCCTAATTTAAGTGCTGTATATATTAGGTGTTATTAGTGATAAAAATTGTAAGCCAAGCGAAACTGATGATTTCATTTTAATACTTTTGAGGAAGCACCCTTTGAAAAACAATACGATTTTAGGCAACTTGTTTAGTTATTTTTCTAAACTAACTTTTATTACTTCAAAATTCTTCTGATTGTGTATATATCTGGTTGCATTAGAATCAAAGAGTGAATCTAATAAAAATTGGCTGGTGTTTTATTTATTTATTTTTTAAATCATATATCTAATCATTTACTCATTTCTTTTAGAGAGCAGCTGATCGCCTGTATGGAGTCTACAAAGTGCATGGAAATTATGGAAGAGTCTTTAGGTAATGTTTCTTTGAAGGAATAGTTCACTCATATATGAATAATTTACTTATGTCATGTCAAAACTGATATGGCTTATTTTTTTCTGTGGAACACAAAAACAGATGTTTTGCAGTATGTCCAGGCTCCTCTTCTCCATATAATGACCATGTTTATATGCATATCATTGTCTGATTATGTTTTGGTTAAGACGTTATTCCTGAACAAAGACTGTTAATAAGAAGTAATGTTTCTTTAGCTCCAAATCAGCTAATTAGAGTGATTTCTGATGGATCATGTCGCACTGCAGACTTTTACATTGTAAACTTTTATATTGTAGTAATGTTTTACAGTATTACTGTTTTTACTATACTTTTATTCAGATAAATGCAACCTTGGGGAGTATGAGAGATTACTTAAAAAAAAAAAAAAAAAAAAGCTACATTTGTAAATATGGCATGCTTAATCCCCCTTAATTTAACACTATTCTGTAATTAATCAGAATTTTTATGTGCATATAAATGTGGTCAGCATATAGCAACAGTATATATACGACCTGTGCATTATATTTCATGTCTTCTGAAACTATACAGTCATTGTGTGTGATGAATAGACCAGTTGCTCAAGACTTTTTCTCACAGTACAATCAGTACACAGTTCAATCACAATTAAGTACACTCATTTTGGAGGAGCCAGACATGCTTTATAACGTGCTCTTTAAACTGTTTTCGTGAGAAGCATTTTTGGGGTAAATCTTTTGGGCTGTGATTGTGTAGCTGCGGTCAGCTGCAGTGGTTCAATGTGAGTCTTTGTTTGTTTTGGACAGCGAGTGGAGTGCCATTGAGAAAGAGATGGGAGATGGGCTGCAGAGCGCCGGCCATCACATGGACGCGTGAGTTCACAGCACACGCAATGAGCCATTCTAATGGGCCTTTATAGGATTAGTGCAAGATTTTATTGCAGCTGGTTTTGATTGCATTTCTCCTACCTGGGATGATCTTGTAACCCTCTGAGAGCTCATTGAGGGACCTGAAATATGAAGGTGCTATATGATACACCCCATGACTCTCCCGTGATTCTAAATGTGTGTGCTCCTGGTACTGAGCTGTAAAACACATTTGCCAGATTGATCTGGATCCTCTCGTATTTCCATTCACGGCCCCCCATAACTAGTAGCCAGTAAGATGAGCCCTTGGGAGGCTCAGGTTTTAATTTGGCTGGCAGACCGTGCAGTGAATCTCCAGGAACCATGGCCAAAACGTTTAGTGGTAATTTTTTTCAACATTGATGATGATGTTGTGGGAGGGACGCACTCGCGGTAGTGTCCTTAGTGAGTCTTTAACCAGTCCCTTTCGTTTCTATACTGGTTTTGTATTGCTGTCTGTCCTGATGGATTCCAGATTGCTGTACTCGGCAGAAAGGTCAAAGGTCAGACCCCAATGTGCTGCCTGTCTGTCTCAGCACTGAAAGAAACAACCATCCATCATCAGCCATCAGACTGTTTTATGAATCATGTTGCTCACCTATTCCCAAAATTCCTCAAAATACCCCAAACAGGCTCTGCTGTGAATTTGGCTTTAGTTATAGAGAGGATAACACATGTAGTTTCACCAGAATGCCAGTTTGTGACATTAGGGGTGGGCGGTATGACCAAAATATTCCTGATAAATATTCTAAATATTCAAAATATCATGGTCACTGTATTTATAAAAAGATATGATTACTAGAAACTCAGTGAAAAGTGTTTTATATGTTAAAAAACATGTGGTAGTGCCTATTTTGGGTAATTCAGTGAGTTAAATGAAATGTACTTTATCTTATCTTTTTATTTGGAACTTGAAAAGTTCAAAAAGATAAGATTATTTATGACTAAATATACTGAGCAAAGACATAAGACTCAAAACAACTAATATTATAAAACAGATGATTTTGACCTAAACATTCATAATTGGATTGGTCATGTTCAGAGCTGTTATAAAATAGTCGTTATTCAGTATTGATAAAAAATTGGGGGTCAGTAAGATTAAAAAAAAAAATGTTTTTGGAAAATCTCTACTTCTCACTAAGACTGCATTTATTTGGGAAAAACGGTAATATTGTAAAATATCATTGCGATTTCAAATAGCTGTTCTCTATTTTAATATATTTAAAAATGTTATTTATTTCTGTGATGGCAAATCTGAATTTTGCTGATTTTATTCTGAATTTTTTGACAAATAGAAAGTTCTAAAGAACTTTTATTTGAAATTGAAATCTTTTGTAACATTATAAATGTCTTTACTGTCACTTTTAATTAATTTAATGCATCCTTGCTGAAAACAAATATAGCATATAAAGTCATTTCTTTCAAAAAAAATAAAAATATCTTACTGACCTCAAACTTTTGAACAGTAGTGTACGCCGTGCATCTGTGACCACATTAGGTGAAATTTATGTACATGTTATGTCGGTTCTAAAGAACTTTTATTTGAAATTGAAATCTTTTGTAACATTATAAATGTCTTTACTGTCACTTTTAATTAATTTAATGCATCCTTGCTGAAAACAAATATAGCATATAAAGTCATTTCTTTCAAAAAAAATAAAAATATCTTACTGTCCTCAAACTTTTGAACAGTAGTGTACGCGCATCTGTGACCACATTAGGTGAAATTTATGTACATGTTATGTCAACTACCCTTTGATCGGGCACGTTTGTATGTTACAGGTATGCTGCTTCTGTCGATGATATTCTAGAGGAAGAGGAACATTATGCTGATCAGCTGAAGGAGTACCTTTTCTACGCAGATGCATTAAGGTACAAATATTCATTGCAGTTACGTTGCCTCATCTTAAAGGGATAGTTCACTCAAAATGAGAATTGTGGTCGTTTATTTGCCTGAAATATTTTAAATGTGATCTGAAGTATACTAAACACAAGCTGTTAGAACAGTGTGGTTGATTAGAAATGTACATGGGCCCTGTTCTCACTGAACTCTTGGGAGTTGATAGCCCCCACTGGCTGATTAAGTTACATGTAGGCCTGTCACGATAACTTTTTGTCTTGCGATATATTGCCCCAGAAATAACTGCGATAAGCGATATTATTGTCATTTTAAAGACCATTTTATGCCACTGAATATATAATCATAATGTAACCGCATAATAATGCAAGACGGCCTACAAACTTCCAAATGACAACAAACTTTTAATTTTTAAGAATATTTAGATCATGGAAATTAAGTATCAAAATATTAGATACCTTAAAAAACTTGAATAAATAGTAAATAAACATTTTCTAACAAAAAGTGCAAAGTAACAAGTGGAAAAAAAGAAAAATGCACACAAAGAACTTGTATGGAGATTTTTCCATCTACAGATTTTTCCCTGACCTTCTTTTCTCTGTAAATTAAGGGTGCACACTATTGCTGAAAAACACAATCACTACTCAGCAGTCAGATGTCCATATGCACAAAGGCACAGATCCCTAAACAAGACCATATCTGCTGATTAAACTGTTTTTGTAGAAGCATTTTTTATGTTATGTACGAGAAGCTGCAAAAGATACAGGCGCAAGTGGAATGTACAAAACATGGTGACATTAATTTTTAAGTAAATATAATGGGCGATATATTGCGTCACCAAAATTTATTGAGGTCATGTACATGTATTGCGCGATAAGTCAATATATTGATTATTGCAACAGGCCTAGTTACATGCAACTTTTGGTACACTGAATACACAAACTTCCATCAGTTCTCAGTTTTCTTGAAAGTGATCACACTGCAGGGCATCTTGGCTTTCAGTTTCCCAAGAAACAATGAGACGATCTGCTTTTATGGTTGTTTTGCATATTTTGTGGTTTATGTGCTTTTTCACAGGGCAGTGTGTAGGAAGCATGAACTGACACAGTATGAACTAGAGATGGCCGCCCAGGATCTGACCTCTAAGAAACAGCAGCGGGAGGAACTCGCCACAGGGGTCAGTGTCCATTTGACCACATGACACAACTCCACATCACCCCTCTTATGTCTGGAATGGGGGACTTTCCAGCAAGATTGATATAAACCAGGGTTCATGTCATATCAAAAGAATGAGGGAAAAATATAGGGAAACGATTATAAAATATATAAAGCATTTATTTTCTGTTTTTCAATGTGTTTGATCTAAAAATATACATTTATTATAGTTGGATATAATGCAGCATTTACTTTTGTCCCACAGCCCTCAACCAAGTTTGATTTTTGGTCCTTCATAGTAAAAATTTTGGCCATCTCTGCTTTAAAACATGTTTGGGATTGCATGTTTGTTTGTTTTTTAGAGTTTAACAGGTTTTTACAGTTAAAATGGTGTTTGCTTGAATAGAGCCTGTAGAGAATTACCTCATTGGCACATTTAACATGTAAACATCTGAGCAGCACAATAAGCCAACGATATACGAAAGACATTCTGGCCTGATTGGCTGATATGAATAATTACTAGGCTCACTTGGCCAAAAAATGGGAGTAAAAATTTCCATATTTCAGCTTTCTGCAAATAAACATGGGAGGAAGAGTGTGGCTTACTCTAGCCAGTGTTTTTTTTTTTCTTTCTTTTTTTCTGTGTAGACGATACGGACCTTCTCTCTGAAGGGAATGACCAGTAAACTGTTTGGACAAGAGACCCCAGAGCAGAGAGAGGCCAAGCTGAAAATGCTGGAGACACAGATTGAAGAAGGAGAGGAACTGGTCAAAGAAAGAAACGGCGAATGCGAGTAAGCAGTGCTCTATTCACACACAACTAAATTGATGTACTGCTGCTGACGAAAAGCAATAAATGTTGTCAGAAAATTACTTAATTAGGTGGTTTATGAGCTGAGAAGTTTACTCAACAAAACTGCATTGCCTTCTTATTCTCTGTGGCAGTACAGAAATGATGAAATACACAGATATGCTCCAAATACACATTCTTTGCTCATTTTGTTGCATCCCTGAGAAACTCATCTAATAAGGGTGAGTTGAACCCAAAAACAGGCTAATCATTCAGGGCTTTCTTAAAAATATGTAGATTTGAGGATATAACCATTCAAGTCAAGCTTCATCCGAGTGATTATTTCATACAATCTTTGTCTGTTTTTGTAGGGAGTTTGTGAAAAGTGCATGGGTGGACATTGAGAGGTTTAAAGAGCAGAAAGACCACGATCTCAGAGAGGCTCTCATCAGCTATGCCATCATGCAGATCAGCATGTGCAAAAAAGTGAGTAGCATCAAAGTCAAATTTTGTCATTACGAAACAATCAAAACACCAGTCTTTACTGAACAGACACAAGGGGGAAGTCTCATACTTGTATTAAAAAATAAGCCTGTTTTGTTTTTAGGGAATTCAAGTGTGGAACAACGCTAAAGAGTGCTTCAGTAAGATGTGAGGGTTCCAGCCACGACAACCAGAACACCAGGAGGCCTTGGAGATGTAAATTCAGAAAAGCACACACTCCTAGAGACTGACCTTGGGGACTAAAGTCTTCCTCTCAATCCTAAACATTTGTCAGCCTCTTGCACCAGATGCTCTGGTGTAAATAGGTATCAATTACAATAGTTTAGGAGTCCAAATAATGAATGAATGGGGTGCTGTTTTATTTATTTCAATGTTCATGAGCCAGATTTTAGACCTGGTTACTTTTGTTACTGCACTAATTTGACCTACACAAGAGTTTGTGAAGGTAACAGACAATTCTTAACATTTCAGACAGAAACAAAAGAATGACTTAATTAGTATTGATTAATCTTGAACTATGGAATCACTTGTTTATAATTTGTTAATGTCTTTTCCTTTATGCTTTTTGGTGCCAAAATTTTAAAATCATTCCTTTTTTTCTACTTTTCGTTAACTTTTTACTACTTTAGTTCACCATAAAACACAAAAGCACAGATTAAAACTGTCAAGGCAAAATAAGAGGGTGGGTTTTCTTAGTGAATCCAGCCGTTCCATTTTTATCGTACTCCCAAACCCCTCCTCATAATGGTGGTCTCGCACATCTGGAACGTGTCCAGTTTCTGTGGGACATGCAAAATGATCTTTATCACCTGGCGCAGAGGACACAAAAAGTCAGATTTCCTATGAAAGGAAAGTAACTTGTCTTATTCGCATGCAAACTAAATTTGCCCTGATGCCCATACAGCAAACAAAGTGGCATAAATTCATCATAATATGCTGATCTGTCACTTTTCTGCACATTTAGCCAGAAAAACATAAGCTGTTTATGACCACTGATCCCCTCCCTTTATATGGTTCAGTTAATCTGAAAAAATATTAATATGCTGTTTATGCCTTATTCAAGACTTAACTCTGCATATTTTCTTTGTTGCCGCAGCTTCCACTATGAATGCCATATTTGTCATCTGTTATGATGAGTGGGTGGGTCAGTGTTTTGATATAAATCTGGCTGAAGGAATACGAAGGTCACAGGAAAGGCAGGATATAATAATTTCCTAATTTTAGAGCTGCGTGTGTAACTCAGCCTGACCCCTGGTCATTCGGTTCATTTTTTGGGGGGGTTTAGAGTGGGGCAGAGATAACCCTTTTGTATATATACTGTTAAAATCGTTGTGTAACACTAATGGCAATGATAATAATAATAAAAAAACATTATCATTTGGCTTATGGTTTCATATGTTGTGAGGGTCTGTTGTGTTCAGATCTGTTTGATAGTCTAAGAACTCAGCAGAGATCATTTGGATTATTTACAGAGTTCGTTTGGATTATATGAAATTGCTGAGTTTGAGGCGTAATGAAAATACACTATGAGAATGCTCATGTATATTAGGGAAATAACCAAATATATTTAAAAGTTTAATCAAGTTGAAATCTGTCAAGTATTTTAACACTAAATAGAATACATCATGTAACATGAGCTGTGTAAAAAGAGTGCATTTCTTTAAACTGTTAAATTGATGTCACCTCTACAGCCTCAGCCATTTTCTCAGGAAGAATCTCCATTTGTTTCTAGGTTGTAATGCTTCCCTCTAGTGGTGTGTTATACTTATGAACCAATTTTATAACCAAAGCCTTTGATATAACAGACTTTACTGTGGTCAGATGTTTAGTTTGAAGGTTTACAACAGGTTTCAACAAAGTAAATGAGTGAACCCTTTTTTCCAGTTCCTATTTTTTTTAATTCTGTGAAATATCTTATCAAATTGAGCCAAAATCAGAAATGAATGTTTTTATATTTAAGTGCCACTATTTGAGCTGTTTTAGGGCAGTAGTTCGCAACTTTTTTGACTTAAAGGCGCCTCATTATTCAAAGACTATATTCGATAGTCCTTCATATTAGATATATATTCTTGTAATTATGTCGCTGGTTTAATTAACGCTGGTTGTTTTTCAACCTTTTTATTAACAGGAACCGTTTCTTTCTTTACCTCTAATGTAATTTTTGCTTTGCTATAGTCAATATTGTCTTGCTCACTGGGTGCATTAAGGGAAAATTATCTGTAGAGATGCTTTGGAACAATATTGTGAAAATGCTATAAAAAGAAGATTAATATGACAGTCTCATCTGGTTACATCTGTTATGACAAAACTGCAGGATGCCAACCAGCTCATATGCCTCAGTAGAATAAGAGAATAATCATGTAAAGGTCACCCTGGGTTAATAATGAACCTCAATCAGGTATGTTTGTAGTATTCATATTAATAATATTAAAGGGGTCATATGATGCTTTTTTAAAGATCATTATTTTGTGTATTTGGTGTAACAGAATATGTTGACATGCTTTAATGTTCAAAACACACATTATTTTTCAAATATTGTAGATTATTGAAGGTCCTCTATGCCCCGCCTCTCTCAAACGCTTCGTTTTCTACAAAGTCCCTCCTTCCGACAAGCGCAGTCTGCTCTGATTGGCCAGCTGACCCAGTGCATTGTGATTGGCCGAACACCGCAAGCACTCGTCGGAAATGTAACGCCCCTTACATTTATTTTGAAAGCTGAAGCTCGCGATTATGGTAAAGACAGAGCCTGAAAGGGGAACAAAGTCACGTGACAGACACAGTGATGAAGCTGGTATGTGTTTGCAGTACACAAGCCGCGGTTAAGACAGCTGACTCCACTGTGATGTGACCCCCCACCCCCTCTCTCTCTCTACGTTCATATATTAAAATACATTAAAGTCATTATTAAAATAGAGTAGTCTTACTAAGCTCACGTCAAATGAAATGTGCAGCTGTATCTGTGACAGTGGCAACAGGCAGCCAGTGTTGTGCTTGAGTTTATTATTTGGTAGTTTATGCACATCAGCATTATTAAGTTTGTATACATAGAGATTAAACACTTATCTTTGGCCGTTTTATTTTTTAATCATACGATGATTCACTCAATATGCGGGTTGTATTTAGTTTAGGTTCATGACTGAAATGTCTTACATAACTTGACTTCTACTATGTCTATGCATATGGAATTATTCCGTTTCTTTCTTTACCTCTAATGTAATTTTTGCTTTGCTATAGTCAAGATTGTCTTGCTCACTGGGTGCATTAAGGGAAAATTATCTGTAGAGATGCTTTGGAACAATATTGTGAAAATGCTATAAAAAGAAGATTAATATGACAGTCTCATCTGGTTACATCTGTTATGACAAAACTGCAGGATGCAACCAGCTCATATGCCTCAGTAGAATAAGAGAATAATCATGTAAAGGTCACCCTGGGTTAATAATTAACCTCAATCAGGTATGTTTGTAGTATTCATATTAATAATATTAAAGGGGTCATATGATGCTTTTTTAAAGATCATTATTTTGTGTATTTGGTGTAACAGAATATGTTGACATGCTTTATTGTTCAAAACACACATTATTTTTCAAATACTGTACATTATTGTAGACATTTGGGCGGCATTATGCTAATATTTCCACATAGTGAGGTAGATATGTGGGGGCGTGTTAGAACGAGCCGTTTTAGGGGGGCATGGCAGAGTCTTAACTTTGATAAAGAATATCTCTTTGGTTTTGAGACTTTAGTCTTTGCAACTTCAGGGATCTTATCTATGCACAATCAGCTTGTAACACTCCAAAGAGAAAGGAAAACTTGAAATCGCATCATATGACCCCTTTAATATTTGTGAGGTCATGTCAATAACATTGACTGTTGTTAAGTAAAGTCATTTATGTATAAAACTCTTTATACAATACAGGTTCATTCAGATTCATTCATTCAATACAGTTTCAGAACAGCTACACAGAAATAAACAGGTAAATAACATAGTGTTGCAAAGTTATCAAATATGAAATATTTCAATTCCTTTATAGCAGCTCTACAGAAGAAAAAAATTTCATTATTTATTTCAGTTCTGTTCAGTAACAACGTCAGTGTTGCAAAATTCACCAGTTATTGTGAAACAACTTAAATTTCAGCTATAAAACAGCTTTACAGCTGACCGTAGTCAATATTGAGCTTTTTAAGTTTCGTTCAATAGTGTCATCACAGTTAAATTTTTAATAGTTTTGAATATAAATAAATAATTAGCCTCATTAAACCAGTAAGAAATTATGTATTGCAATCCATTTTGAGTCAGTTCTTCATAATGAGATGTAGAAGCATGAATCTGACATGAATGCATCCTTATTAAATTAGTTCATGCTCCAGTAGCAATTCTGTTCAAGATGTGTCAAGTCAGATCAAGTTTAATGTCATTTTCCTCTGCCTAGCAGGTGATGAAAATTATTTTTGTTTGATTGTACATATAGGCTAGGCCAACACTGGGGTCCAAAAGAAAATGTCCTTTTTTTTATTTAAACCTGGAAATTATGTTTTAGGGTTTTCAAAAGACCAGATTTCCATCCATTGAAGCGCAAGATGCTGTTTGACCTCATATCATGCTGGAGAACATGGATCATCAGGTTTTGCTCCTGCTTGTCAAAAGAGGGGATGTGAGTTTTGTTGCCTTTAAACTCAAGCTCGTTGTTTCTCTCAGCCAGGTGACGACAACTGTGAACGCAACTGCTGATAGGAATCCTTATGTTGGTCCTGTCTCTTCCTGTAGCTTCAGCTCAACTGCTTAGCATTCAGCGATGAACATTGATGACAAGCTGGAGGGGATGCTTATGAAATGTAGCCCTGTAGGGCTTCACCACTCATCCAGAGGTCTGGGACCCTCGAGGGTGGACGGAAGAGGAAGAAGAGGCAGTTTGGATATGACACTTGGGGAACGGAGCTTGGCTAATCATCCCCTTTTGGCAGAGGATGATGACGATGATGAAGATGATGAAGAAGACCTGGCAGGTGGAGGCCTGACCTCGCATGATCTGATATCCCAGGATGACCTGATGGTTCACGAGGAGACGGTGAAAAATGATGGACAGGATGAAGCAGCTTTCTCACAGCGAATCTCCCATAAACTACACTATACACTCAATATGCCAGTAAGTGTACAGCTGATTAAGAGCTAATTACTGCAGCGCTTTAACACTATTATTTATTTTACTTGTGCAAGTTCCAACAACCTTGTCAGTGAACCACACACAAAATTTAGTAAATATTGGGTAAAGAAAGCGTGCATTTATTTTCAGCAAATGTGCTAAAATTATGTATATAATAAGTGTACTGTAACTGAGAAATTCGGTAAATGAATTTTATTCATGATTTTTGTTGTTGTTGTTACTTTTGTTAGGTAAATGTAAAGCAGGAGATGAAAGTGCCAGACTCATTGATTCTCAATAAAAAGGAGAAGAAACCGGGGTGGGACCCATCTGACTGTCACAAAAAGAAGAAGAGAAAGCAGCGCTCGCCTGCAAAGGTTTACTATAATTCATCAGCGATGCCACTGATAAAATACCATTATGCTCTTAAAATACCAGTTATCTAAGTGAGAGATACTTTACAGTGCAAAGCAGTGGTGGTAAAATAATTTAAAGTTTAATGTGAGTTTGAAAGTGTCCTGAAATTGCTTATTTTGTCTACTTGCTTTTTTATAAATTGTTTTATTTATTTCAAGGCTGCTTGCCTACTAAAATGATTGTTTTTACTCATTGAAATGTTATTATACTAAAAACTGCGCTGCACATCTGTGAGTAAGCTGAACTGACATTTATCATGTCCTTTTACGGTATTGGTTAGCCAGGACATAAAGTATTATGACCACTCTGGAGTTATGATGCTCTAAAGAAGCACAGGCATGAAAGTTAAGGTAGTTCTGAACTTATTTCCTCCATCTTGCTAGATTCTCACTATTAATGAAGACGGCTCCCTTGGGCACCAGAACCCAAAATCTCATGTCTGTGAGCACTGCAATGCTGCTTTTCGAACAAACTACCATTTACAAAGACATGTCTTCATTCACACAGGTGAGTGGTGTAATGTTCTTTGGGAATAATTGTCATATAAAAGAACAAAATGGTGAACAAAAATTTATATTTTTATATATATTTTTTCAGGCGAAAAGCCTTTTCAGTGCAATCAGTGTGACATGCGCTTTATTCAGAAGTACCTGCTTCAGAGACATGAGAAGATCCACACAGGTGAGCAGAAAGGGATTAGTTCTTTAAGAATGTACAGTACAGAAATCTTCAAAGTCAATGATCCATTTATAAATGTAGTCCATTGCAAGCCCCTTTTTTGTGGTACATCTTTATACTCTGAGAAAGCAAGTCTAGGGTCAAAGCCTAGTTTTTTCCATCAAGTCTTGGCATGAAAAAAGTAGGCCTACTTGACTGGTCTAAATTGTTCTTTATATCGTTCATAACTGCCTGTCATGTCTCCCCTTTAGGAGAAAAACCTTTTCGCTGTGATGAGTGTGGAATGAAATTTATTCAGAAATACCACATGGAGAGACATAAGAGGACACACAGCGGTGAAAAGCCTTACCAGTGTGACTATTGCCATCAAGTATGCGCAGTTCAAAGCAAATCAGATTTGATTCTGTGCAATTAAAATGTTAGCATGCAGTCTGAAACATGATTATGTATATTTTTTTCCCAACAGTTTTTTTCCAGAACTGACAGAGTACTAAAGCACAGACGAATGTGCCATGAGAATAAGGACAGGAAGGTGCAGAAAGCAGCTGCCAAAGATGGTCCTCTTCGCACCTCAGAGTGCTTGGGCTTCTCTTTTCCTGCCAAGGAATGCACACTTCCCAAAAAGAAACGTCAGAAGACCTCTGATAAATGTCGAGTTGCGCTTACAAGTCCAACTGTTGACAAAGTGGTTGAAGCTGGTAACGAGGAGAAGACGGAAGACCAACTGGCCAAAAGCGAGTGTCTTCCTCTTTACAATGTAGACACCAAGGTCAAGGACGAGTATGTTGTGACAGATTATTCCGTTGAGCTCCCTGATTCCCCGCCTGGCAACAGGCATCTCGCAGGGGAGGAGTCTAATGATGGGATCATCAGTCCTCCAAAACTAGTGCTGAAGAAAATTGCCAGCAGAAGAGGTTTGAAACAGCAAGCCCTAGAACAGCCCCAGAGCCTTTCACCCTTGTCCTCATTTGAAGAGAGCAAAGTAACGAGATACACGTTTGAAATTGTGGACAACAAAGGTCTCTTGGATGTCGAGACCAATCCTGACATGGATCCGGTTGACTCCCTACAAGGAGGACAAACAAAACCAACTGGGAGCAGCACAAATTACGACGACGCCATGCAGTTTCTCAAGAAGAAGCGATACCTTCAGGCGGCCACGGCGAACACTAGTCGAGACTATGCGCTTAATGTGAGCAGCATCGTGTCGCAGCCTTCTGTCACTCAGGCAGCTGTAGCGAGCGTCATCGATGAGACTGTTCCTGCCACGATCCTCTCTGAGACTCAGACGCTGAACGTGGAGATCAAGTCCAGTAACGAGAAGAACGTCCTTCCAGATGAGGTCCTGCAGACGCTTCTCGATCACTACTCTAATAAGGCCAACGGGCAAGCAGAGATTTCCTTCAGTGTGGCGGACACTGAGGTCACATCCAGCATCTCTATCAACTCTTCCGATGAGAGCAGCCCCACCGAGACTTTGGGAACCAGCTCACAAGCACCCCCGGCCGAGAAGGCCAGCCTTCTACAGGAGTACTCCAAGTTTCTCCAGCAAGCACTGGAAAGGACCAGTCAGAACGACACCTACCTGAACAACCAGAGTCTTACGTTTGTAAATGACAGTGCCAGTCTTGCTGGCCAGCCTTTGTTTTCCATGGAGAAGCAGTTCACCTCCCCATCCCGGTTCAGACCGAGCATGAACTCGCCATTGAGATCCACTTTGGAGAAGCCTAATTTTAGTCTTTTAGTAGATTCCCAACACTCCTTCTCCTTTTCAGGTGACGAGACAAACCCTTCCTCAGTTTCGCCAACAGAGGACTTCCTCGACCAAGTGACCTCTCCCAAAAAAACAGATTCGCAAAGCATTAGTCAAACATTTCAGATTGCTACTTTTGACCAGAACTTTCGATCTCAATTCCCAAGCTCACGATCTGGAATATCCTCACAGTTTAGCATTGCCAGTGGACAAGTTAGCCTGAGAGGTCATGGAGGAACGGACTTCCCAGAGTTCTCTCTTGTTAGTGAAACAAGAACTCAACTAACTTCATCTCCAGATGCTACAAGCAGCCAAACCTTTGGCTAAACAGGAGCTTTTAATGATTTAAAGCATTTTAAAGGCACTTTATAGTTCTGTCAGTGAAGGCAATGCAAATCTCTGTGCAAATACTTATGATTTTCCATCTTTAAACAATCACGCATGTGCGAGATTCAAAAGGATCAGAGTGATGCATGCATTCGATTTTATTATCGGACTATGGGATACTCTTTATGTGTCATTGCATTATTTGTGTATTACACGTAGTGCTTGGGACAAACACACTATGGCTTGCCAAATAAGCTAGCCTGTGTGTTCTAAAATTAAGAATTCAAGCTACTACAACAATGCTGTTGTAGTCTAAATTTATATGGTCAGCTTCCCCGAGAAAAAAACTATTCAAAGATCAATTCTTATTTGGCCTCTTGTTAGCATTCAGTTCTTTTGCTGGAACATCAGGCTCAACGGACTGACCTAATAATGTAGGTCTATAGAAACTACTCTAGCTTAGCATTACAATCAGTTTTTGTATTTAATTAGTTTTGTAACATGTTGTCTGGAGAGCTACTGAAAGGACCTTACTTTAATGCCCTAGACTTGAGTAAGGCACTTTGTGATTTGATGTACTGCAAGTCACTTTTGTTTAAAAAAAATGAGTAACATTTTTCTCACCCCTGTCATTGTAAGCTAATTTGTGTGTTTAGTCTTTTTGTGCATTTAATTACTTGTTGGAATGTTTATTGTCTTGCCAATCAGATATAGGTGCACATGGGGAGCAAGGCATCTGTAGAGGGTTTGTTTTCACATATCCCACATTTGGAGATGCAGTTTTAGCAGTTGTCCAGGGCAACCGCACTAACAGGTATGCACTTCATTTGTCATCATTGTGCTTGACTCAGTGGTTAGTTCAGACTAACAATAGTCAAAATACAATACTTTGTTAAAAAATGTGCACATGTCATCACTTTGGTTTCCTTAAGATGACTTAATTTGTTGACAGTCTGTTTTCTTGAGTTTTCAGATGCACTCAAGGTCTGATGAACATTACCCTTTAAATAGCACTTTCAGCTTGTGGGCAGTTTGTATTTTTTTTTAAAGCACTTTTCAGTTACCACCTTCCGTCTACATAATGTACACATTCAAAAATTTGATATAATCTATATCAGTGTTGAGTGAAATCAAGAAAGATCATTTAAGAATGTATGGTCTGAGATCATATTTTTATGCTTTTTCTTTGTTTCAAAAACACCCCATCCATTAGCAAATATGTCTTTGTATCAGATTAACTTGCTGTTACTTATTGGGTTAATATAGAACAAAAAATAAAGTGTAATGTTTGGTAAAGTTGTACTAATGTATCTGTACACATTTGTTAATTGCGCATCTCTTATTGTTATCTTAATAACTAATCACGTAAATTATAAGCTTTGTTTCTGTTCTCTCAGATTGTTTTTGGAAATGTACCTGCTTGCCCCTAAACTCTATATTGATTAATCTTAGCTTTATGATTTATAGTAATAGTATCATGCCAAACTGTACACTCTTTGTAAATCATTTTTAAAACATTCTTATGTAAGTTGTTTAATGGTTTTATAAACAATTTACACACAAATTTGCTCTGCTTACGTTTCGTGAATGAAGCCCATTAAGAGCAGTTCTGTGTGTATGTTTTTTTTTTTTCATAGTCCGTATGTTCTGGGTGTCAAAAGACATTTTACTGTTTTAGATTACGGTATATTATATGTGTGCCTAACCATTCCTTTACTGTCCCTTTATTTTTACATGTAAATAGGTTTTATATTTTAAGTTGTGCATTTTGCTGTGCACGTTTCTTGGAGTGTAGAGTGAGTGCAACATTATTTAATATTTGCTGCCATTTTGGTTTACTCTTTCCTACAGTCCCTGATGACTTTCAGCACAACTTTTGTGATTAAATCATGTTTGTGTTCTTGGTTGTAAGATTACAAATGTACTGTCCTCTAAGAATTGCTTCTGAATGCAATTTTAATAATTACAATTTGATTAAACCTTGTATGGATCTCATACACCCTCAGAGGACGAGTTTTTAGGATGTTATTTATCGTTTCAATATCATGTGATATCTGCATTATCATGTAAGGAATAATCGCGTCGTGGCCGCATCACCACCTCGGTTGTGCATTATTTTCTAAGAATTCAACGGTCCGAAGTCAATTATTCCACTTATACAGCGGTTACCACACCTCAAGACATCGGTCATATTATATATTTCAAGGCATTTGTCCGGTTTTTGTACTTTTGTTATTGTGAGTAGGATTAATTTCTCCCGCATCTCATCCAACGCCTCCGTTTCTAATTCCAAAACGTCATTTTAGACCTAGTAACGGAGGCTTGAGCCGCTGACAGCAGACTTATGCAGTTAATAACTAAGTTATGAGAGAGAGAGAGATTACCTCTGAGTCTGTGCGTCTCTCAAAACAAGTGTTGAGATGGTCCTCACTGCAGAACACAAGATCCAGAGGGCGTGGTTAGACCAGATCCAACTCCTCCCACCTTGCATACACCTAAACCTACCCGTCTCCATCCCCTAGATGATAGCGTATGTGCTTTCCGTACATAATAAAACGTAATTTTGTGGCAAAAACATGGTAATGATCTGTCGTTTTTATCTTATTGTTTACTATATTTATTTGTTTGGCCAGTGTCGTTGTGGGGTTTGCTTCTTTTGCTGTTGTAGGCTGTAAGGACCTCCTTGGCGAAGTGATATGGACATGTAATGCGGTCAAGACCTGCCTGGAACTACGTTCCCCGTGTGTAGTATAAAAATATTTGATCAAACATTACTGCTACAGATGCTCCAGAAATTGATGAAAGTGAAATGATAATTTGAGGGAAGACCTTTAATATCTTGTTTTAGCTTTATTTCCATTTAGTAAATTGTGCGTTGTTTTTTTGTGTTTTTTTTGTGTAAGCTCAATTGCTGTTGGTAAAAGGTCATATGCATTTAGACATTTGTCCTTCTTTATTGATTGGGTATTTTGAGCATCAAAGTTTCATCTGGTGTTACTGACAGTGGATCATTATTTTCTTTCAAGCTTAATTTGAGTGAAAAACTGAATGGTTTTATTTAGTAAGAGAGCTCTTCTGAATAGTTTTAGACATTTACATTTATTGGGGAGTGCATGTCCTCTGACTGTCTTTGTACACTGGTTATATTTTTATATGTATCCATTTTATTGTAGCCAAATTATTTCCATTGAACATACTTTAATGCAATACTTTGCCTAAGACATGGGGAAAAAGTTCTGATTGGATGTTTTTGATTGCGTGCCTCTTGTTGTGTAATATAACATTTTCAAATACATAAAGTTGTTGAGTGCTTTTTCCATGTGTCATGATCACTCATTACAGGAATGAGTGGCCTCTGCCTTCTTAGTACATATACTGTGTGCGAATCTCATAAAACCAAATGTCTAGTTCATTCTTAACAATTAAGAAAACATTTTTTTTGTCTACATTAAACGAAGCCTGCCTTTATGAGCATTAACATTTTTTTTGCATTGTGATTGCATATATATTTTATACAATTAAACATATTTCTCCCAATTCTCTTTAACTAAATGCAAAAATCTCAGTCATGTCGAAAAGTATATAATGTAAATTATTCACAGTATTATTTCTTTTATTTTTCTTTTATTTTAAATCCATGGGTTTAAATGTACCCTGGGAACATTTTTGTGAGAGCTGACAAAAAAAGTAGACTGGGGTTGACACATGACCACAACTAGCCTAATTTGCATAAAAGTATCTTAAAATTCTTTGAATTTGACTTTACATCATAAATGTACGGTGACCGTGAAGTGCAAAACAAATAACAATTCAGAAAACACAACAACAATTCAGAAAACATTATAAATGTTCACTAGTTGGTTTTATAAATGACAAGAAATAAACTACTGAAATCCTGACCAGTCGAAGAACAGTGAAATGCAAATAAGAGCTGTACACTGGCAGCACACACCTGAGGTGGCGCTGATAGAACAGATATTTGTTTAATGAGGTTTTTTGCACACGTAGCGTTTCCATGAATTACAGCGACACACAGACAGCTGTTATGCTAAAACTCCTAAAGTATGAATTCGTCAAACGATTTTAATATAGGCTACTATACTAAAACAATTGTGTCATGGTTAGTGTCAATTTAGTAAGTTACTTCAATAGCACTTCTTCAAAAGTTACTTCAAAAGCAGAACGTTTTTTTTCTTTAATGTTTGATGCTTTAACTGGTTGTTCTATCTAAACGAACCGTTCTAAAGAATCGATTCGCGGAAATGATTCGGACCACCTAACTCCTCAGGTGTGTGTTTGTGCCTCCCTCACATTCTCCACCTGCTGCTGCATCCGGGAGCACAGTGACTGCAGGTAAGTCAGTGTCTGTATGATTACTCAAGGAATTTACAGTTTAACAATATCCCAAAACAGCAGTTTATCCGTTTATTTAGGGCCGCTTTCACTGGCCATTCCTGTAGCGTTTACAACGAACCATTGCACTATATAACGTTAAAGTAAAACACAAACGCATAGTCAGTACTACACAACTTAGTCACGTGAACTTCAATGCTTGCCTTTTATCTTAAAGTAGCTATTAAAATATTGGTCAAATGCGGGATATGAATTGTATGTGTTTTATTAATGTGTCACTTCTTAACAGACGGCTTTTGTTGGCTTAAATGTATCTAAGTTACGTGGCCATCGCCTACTTGGCAAATGTTGTTAAAATTGGCTTTGTATATAATGTACTGAAACCTTTCAAATGAGTCCTATAGCAAAGTCTTTACATTCCTCAGATCCAGCTGCTGTAATCTTGCCCAGGAGGGAGCATGAGTCATCAAGTTCAAGAGTTATTCCATGAAGATGTACAGGTAATGGCAAATCAGTTAGTTTTACCATAACAATAATTAGAAACCCATAAATTCAGACCTAATGTTCTACCCTGAGCAGAGGAACTGATATTAATGGAGGCTTATTTAGATATGAGTGACACTGGTTTATGTAGGGTTCCCAGAGTAATGCTCAGCCTTGGTGGAAGGTGCAGCTCTTCGTCTGGGAACCTGTTCTTTTTGGCACCTGGGATGGAGTCTTTACTACCTGCATGATCAACATTTTTGGGGTGGTGCTCTTTTTACGGACTGGCTGGCTTGTGGTAAGTTATGTTTTATCATTGATACACATATGCACCACAAGCATCATGAAATCTGAGAATTTATTTCAACGGCATTTGAAAAGATATTCCAAGGTTTTGGTTCATATCTATGGAATCCCATTTCCACCACGGAATGAAAAAAAAGTTGCAATTACTTTTTGCGAGATACGAGCTCAGAATAAAAACTTACAGTTTGAATACAACGTACATAATTGTGAGATATAAACTGCACCTTTTCTTTTGCAATTCCAAGTTTACGTCTCACAATTCTGCTTTTATATCTCACAATTCTCAACTTTTTACTCAGAATTTTGAGTTTACATCTCGCAATTCTGTTTTAATTGCAACTTTTTATCTCGCAATTCTGAGTTTATATTTCGCAGTTCTGGGGAAAAGACTCGGAATTGAATTGTGAAATATAAACACAGGATTGTGAGAAAAGTCCAAGTTGTGAGAGAAAAAGTCGCAATTACCTTTTTTTTTAATCCCATGGCAGAAACAGGCTTTCATACGTCTCATGTTTTGGCAGCTATTAAATGGGGATACAATAAAACTAAAGTTTTTTCCCATATGAATATCATTAGGGTAACACAGGTGTGTTGCTGGGCATGCTTCTGGTATCCATGGTGGTATTAGTAGCCTTGGTTACGGTGATGTCAGGCATTGGCGTGTGTGAGTGTTGCAGCGTGGGTAATGGTGGGGTCTACTCCATGATCTCCACTGCGCTCGGAGGAAGGGTTGGAGGAACTGTGGGACTCTTATATGTGTTTGGACAGGTGAGCAACTCCTTTCTGTATTAGTTATATTGCATATACATTGGGTGGTCGGTTCACTGTTCTCAAGTTTGATGACAGTCATGTGTCTTGTTGGCAGTGTGTGGCTGGAGCGATGTACATCACTGGTTTTGCCGAGTCCATTGCGCAGGTGCTGAATTTACAGAGCATGTGGGTGGTGAGGGGCATCTCTGTGGCCGTTCTGATTGGTCTGCTCGGGATTAACCTGGCCGGGGTTAAATGGATTGTACGCCTTCAATTGGTTCTGCTGGGCATATTGGCTATGTCCACTCTGGATTTCGTCATCGGGACATTTAGTCATCTAGACCCAGGTGAGCTGGTGTAACAACTGCTGTACATCTTAGTACAGCTAGGTTTGGTGTTTTTAACTGGAAGTCTTTCATTAAAACAACAACGTAGATTCCCCATTGAGTGCAATAAAAAAACTCTGACACGGGTGTATAGAAGTTCATGTATTTCTTAAAATGAGAAATAAAACCATTAAATCTAATTTTAACAGGCACTTGTGACTCTACCAAAGGTTTCCATTTAATAAAGTAGCGCTTTAGGAAGAGATTCTTGCCCTGCAGTGTTGTTTTCACAGAGCCTACTAAAGAGTGCCTGCCTTTCTTATATTGACACTTCTTTCTTTGCACATTCACATTTCCTGGCAAACCTGCCAGACGAGGATATACAAGTTCGAGTCATTGTATATATTTGTCTAAATTTGCAGTGTACTAAAGCAGTGTGCTCTCTTTTTTCTGTTCCGTTATTTCACAGTTTCTTATATCTGTATTTTTATGTGTGGTGTAATATGCATTTATTGGAGTTGAAAAGTAGTTTGATGCAGCTTATTAATGACAATATATACACTACTGTTCAAACAGTTTGGGGTCAGTAATGTTTTTTTTTTAAAGAGTTAATGCTTTTATTCAGCAAGCATGTATTAAATAGACCAAAAGCAACAGTGACAAATTTTACATTGTCAAAATTAAATAATTGCTGTTCTATTGAAATGTCAAAGAATCCTAAAAAAGGTATCACAGTTTCTACAAAAATATTAAACAGCACAACTATGTTCAACATTGATAATAAAAAAAAAAATTTCTTGAGAACCAAATCAGCATATTAGAATGATTTCTGAAGGATCTTGTAACATTAAAGACTGGCATAATGGCTGCTAAAAATTCAGCCTTGCCATCACTAGAATAAATTATTAAAATTTAAAATGTATCACAATTTAAAATAGAAAACATTTTTTTATTTTAATAATATTTAACAATTTTACCGTTTTTACTGTATTTATCTCAAATAAATGCAAACTTGGTGAGCATAAGAGACCTCTTTTAAAAATTTTAGCAATAGTGTATATGTAAATCTATTTACTATCTGTGACATTATTATTATTATTATTATTATTATTATTATTATTATTATTAGCTCTTACTAATTCAAAATTATTATTGGTATTGATAGACTACCTATTTGGCCAGTATGTGAAAACTGAGTTCACATGTCCTTGCAACATCTGTCCAGTAGATGTCAGGGTAACATAAAGGGGGGGAGGGTGGAGGGGGGGGGGGGATGTTGTCCCAAACAATGCTATCCCTGGGGTTTCATTTTTGATGTCCTTTTTTGCATACCAGGTAGTGATGTGTCAATGACAGTATAAGCAGTTAAGCTATTTAGACCTCCAGCAGCCCTGCATCTGCTGGGAGGGGGTGCACATGGCCACTAGAGAGTACAGGGTCTCATTCTAAATTAACACAATTATAGAAATCCAACACCAATCATAATATGGAAGTTGAAGTAACAGGAAGGGTGAAGTGATTTGTCTTCTTGTTATATACAGTACTGTCATCTAGTCATCCTTGACATGGACCTTACAAGGCAAAAATATATGCACTAATGTATTTTATTCAGCAAGGATGCATTAAATTGTTCAAAGGTTACAGTGAAGACATTTATAATGTTACAAAATATTTCTATTTCAAATAAATGCTGTTCTTTTGAACTTTATATTTATAAAAGAATCCTGGAATGATTTTGAAGGTTTTCATAATAATATTAAGCAACTCAACTGTTATGAACAGTGGTATTAACAAGAAATGTTTCTTGCACTCCAAATTGGCATATTAGAATAATTTCTGAAGGATCATGACCCTGACGCTTCGAATCAAATCACTTTTATTGTCACATCACCAACAGCATGTGTGCCGTGGTGAGTGAAGAGCTTGGGAGCGTGCTCCAGACAGTACAGAATACAATTGACATGTTTATCAAAAAACATATACACTATATAAAACAATACAAAATATACAAACATAATGCACATAATCCACAAATGTACACACAGAGCGGTTGTAGATGCAATGGTTGGTAAATAGCTTTGCCATCACAGGAATAAATTACATTTTAAAATAAATAAAAATGTAAATATTTCTCAATGTTACTGTTTTATTGCATTTATTTACTGCAGTCTCAAAAACTTTATATATATATATATATATATATATATATATATATATATAAAATTAAAGTTGTTTTTATTTTAATGACTGAAAGCATGTGTTAATGAAATGGAGCATGCTTTTCTAAGAAGAATTATGTGTTGCCAAATTCCAATTTCTAAAGCTCTCCCAAGCTATAATCACAGAAATCCAGCTCTGTCACACATTTAATTTTTTTTAGAACATTCAAATCTACTTGTGTTGAAATTGTATATGAAGTAAGTAAGCATACATACAGTATTAAACGGAAATACCTCCTCCTGCAAAGAAGTATACTTAGTGCAAGTTCATTTACAGATTCATAAAAGCAGCTCTGCATCCTGCAAAAATTAGGCCTATGTGATACATCTAATAAGAGTAATTTGCTCTTAGGACAAGCATGCAGACATTCTTAGTCCATTGTAATGTTTAAATTTTTTGGCTGCCCACTTCAGACGAGGTCAGTATGTACTTTCACACTGGGTTTGCAGGAAATCCATCCCAACACTTCCTGTTCTCCTGATTACTGGCTTCCTGTCCAGAGAGAATGCAAGACTCTCAGAAAGATGGTGTTCTCACTCTCTTTCTGCAGAGAAAGTCAGACACAGTGGGGTGTAATGGACTAAATATGTGGTATTACTCCCTAACTGCAGCTCCTGCTGCTGTCGTGTGGCTCTGACCCCTTTTAGGAGCTGGACTCGGGATGCAGTGTGCGCTGGCAGTGGGAAAAGGAGGCGCTGGGTCCTTCAGGTTTTTTCAATTAAGCCTTGTGGTTATAAAGTGATCTCACCATTGGCACGACTCCAGGGGGTTGCACAGTTTAGGCCTGGGCGCCGCATGGGCGGGTTACCTGCCAGTGGCAGGAAAAAGGAGCTGCTGCACAGATGTGTTTACAGTTTGATAACACAGTTAATCACGTAGCCAAGGCCAGGTGGTCAGCACAAGGAAAGCTTCATAGCCGTGATGATATAGAGATCCCAGCACGACTGCATTCCATGACAATTTAAAGGGATAGTTCACCCCAAAATTGGACATTTTGTCTTTCCAAAGCTATTTGATTTGTCTGTCTTCTGTAGAACATAAAAGGAGAAATTTTGAAGTATATAATGGCCACCCTTTTTTTATATAATGAAAGTGAATGAGGAGGACTGAGGTCAAGCTTAACAAAGAAACAAGAGTAGTTGTGGACCGATTTGGATTTTTTATTTATTTATTTTTTGCCTTTCTATTATTAGACAGAGCTGTTAAACAAAGACAGTAAACTAATGAAGACCGCTCAGGTGCTGGGTTTGAAGTGCTGTCAACATAAAAGTCCTGCTCATGACGCTTATCTGCCATACAGAAAACCGTATTTGATGTTATAATAAAAAAAAGGCCAAAAAAGCCACTACACAAGCACCATAAAAATAAAGTAGCTCATATGACTTATGTACTATGTTCCAAGTCTACTTGGGTCATTTTGTAGTTTTGTGTGAGGAACAGACTGCCATTTCAGTCGTTATTTACTGAAAATCATTCCCTTCAGTGAGCTGGTAGCCACTGTGACTAGAACCGGATCAGTTGATTTGAGAATGAATCATTCAGATCAGTTTTGTGAATTTCATCAGGTGATTTAGTGTAAAAATTTTACTCTTTCCGTTTATGATTTTCAATGAAAAATTACTTATAAAGTTTGATATTTTTGACACAAAGCTATTGTATAACTTCAGAAAACTTAAAGGGTTCATATGATGCGATTTCAATTTTTCCTTTCTCTTTGGAGTGTTACAAGCTCTTGGTGCATAAAGAAGATCTGTAAAGTTGCAAAGACTAAAGTCTCAAATCCAAAGAGAGATTCTTTATAAAAGTTAAGCGTCAACCACGCCTACCTAAAACGGCTTGTTCTAACACGCCCCCACATATCTACATCACTATGTGGGAAGATTTGCATAACGCTGCCCAAATGTAGCACTTGTTGTTTGTCATTTCTCCGATCACAAATGCAGACATGGTTTTATGTTTACTCGGTGCGATGCAACGCAACGCGTAAAAAGACAGTATAAGTCATTATAATCCATAATTTTGTCCCCACTGGATGCAACAAATGCTTCGTTTATAATGGATTTTAATATTTTTGTCTCGTCGCTCCAGCCGGACAGGGCATCACAGTATGGTAAGGGGCGTAACATTTCCGTCACACGCTTGAGGTATTCGGCCAATCACAACGCACTGGATAGCTGGCCAATCAGAGCACACCTCACTTTTCAGACCGATGAGCTTTGTAAAAATCGACGCGTTTCAGAAAGGCGGGGCATAGAGAAGAAACAATGATGTACAGTATATGGAAAATAATGTTTTTTGAACCTTAAACTGCATAAACACATTTCATTACACCAAATACACAAAGTAATGTTCTTTTTAGCAATAAATAATTAAAAATAGGGCATAATGAGTCAAATGGACATCACTAATGATACATTATAATGTTTTGGAGCTTGACAATTACAGTCCTTATTTGCTTTGAAAAAATGTTTGAAGGATAAAGAAGAAGATCCCACAGTTTTTTTTACAGGGTATTCCTTTAAGAACTAAAAGGCTAAAGAAAACTGAAGGGCTGAGCACATATCTTGGTTGTGAAATAATTATTGGTAAAGGATATGTTTGAGTTATACACTGTCTACCATTAGGCACCAGTGTGCCCAGGCTCATGCAGCCAAAATGGTGATGATGATCTTTTAATATTGCTACCTACTTCAATGTTTTGTTAAATCATTTGAAAATGTTATTGCTGGAAAAGATGAAGAAAATGTGAGCACAATCCTCTCGAGTATTCATACCATTGCGGTGAACACATTTGTGCTAGATTTGAAAAAAATGAGAGCAACTCCTAGTTCTGTCCCTTCCCTCCTGCCTATTACCACACAGAGGAACTGTGAGAAGAGCTTTCCCGCTACTGTAGGCTTTTAGACTGTGTTATTATTGGTGTAAATTCTGTTCTTCTCTAGTGGTGGGAAGAAATTGCTGGAATAAAACAATTAGATTTTTATGAAAAGAGCTGAATTGCTTGACTTGTCTGCTCATGGTCTTTGATCAGGTCATTGGCTTGTTTTTCACTCACATAATTAGTTTTATAATGGTGTGATGTTCATGTTAAGTAGGATCTCAGCTCTAACCTCAAAGACACTCTACTTAAGCGCCCCAAGTTGGACCGGAAACTGACATGCGCTCATAGTTTTGGGTTAAGGGTGTTGACCGGGCTCACCCACATTTTTGGCTTGAGACAAAAGAGCAGGCAGGAAGCAGATCCGAGTCCTTCACTAGCAGAGTCCACATCATCACTTCCTCTTCCAAATCTTCAGATCAGGACTCTTACTACAAATATCCAAACTGCAATCATAATGGTTAGAAAGGTGGCAAGGAGGGCAACAGTAACAGCCCTGCTCTTATCCGCTGTGTCAGTATGGGCCGTTTTTTTATGCTTGTGTATTGTGAATATGTGTATATTTTTATCGCAGGGCATGGCATTTATCCCAGGGCTCAAGAAGCATTTTATATTATTATCAAAGTTTAAAACAGTTGTGCAGCTTACTATTCCTGTGGATATGTTCTTATTTGAGGATTCTTTGATGTATAAAAATGTCAAAAGAACAACATTTATTTTATATAGTTTTTTTGCAAGAAAGTCTTTACTGTTACTGCAATTTAATGCATCCTTGTTGACTAACAGTATTCATTCTAAAAATCCTTTCAATAAAAATCTTACTGAATCTTTTGAATGGTGGTGTATTTGAAGGTTGTTTAGTTCAACAGTCACAAACTAAACTATGGCTAATTGTTTTATTCTTGCACTTATAAGTGACGTGACATGTGGCCAAGTACTCGGAATTAGTGCTCTGCATTTACCCATCCCAAGTGCACACACACAGCAGTGAACACACACAAACCGTGAACACACACCCGGAGCAGTGGGCAGCCATTTATGCTGCGGCGCCCGGGGAGCAGTTGGGGGTTCGGTGCCTTGCTCAAGGGCACCTCAGTCGTGGTATTGAAGGTGGGAGAGACCCAGAGTCCGACTCTCTAACCATTAGGCCATGACTTCCCTTGTTATTCCAAAAACAGCTTACCATATATTTAGCAAAGTTCATAAAAGAAGGTAATTATGTCAAGGTAATTTATGATGTGGTGAAGTAGGATATGTTTTTTCCTGCTTGCATGGTATTATTGGAGTACTTGATATCTGTTATTTCTAAGGCTGTGTCCACCTAAACTTTCTTTATGCACTTCCCCTCTACTTCCTTCTCCTGATACTCTCTATTGTATCTTACTCTCTTTCTAGCTCTCTCTCTTTGTAGCCAAGAAACTGTGACTTGGAAGGGTAGGAACAGGCACGGCTTCTGAAAGGGTGGTGACTTCCTTTTGGATAAACATGTCATTAATCCAAGAGAACACATTCTTTCCCATCACAAGATAACCAAGAGGGAAATGGATCATGATCTTGCATAGTCAGGCTCTCTGCATGAGTGCCTTGTCTCCGCAGGCGTGACAACCACCATCTTTCTTTCTCTTTCACTACATCTAATGTAAGCTTTTGACTCTAATTGAGACTTTATTATTAAATTGTTAAATTAAAACTTTTTCAAACTAAACATTTCAAATCAGTATGACTTTCTTTCATTGAATGAATGCAAAAGTAAATATGTGACCCTGGACCACAAAACCAGTCTTAAGTCGCTGGGGTATGTTTGTAGCAATAGCCAAATATACATTGAATTGTTCAAAATTATAGATTTTTCTTTTATGCCAAAAATCATTAGGATATTAAGTAAAGATCATGTTCCATGAAGATATTTTGTAAATTTCCTACCATAAATATATCAAAACTTCAGTTTTGATTAGTAATATGCATTGCTAAGGACTTTATTTGGACAACTTTAAAGGCGATTTTCTCAATATTTAGATTTTTTTGCACCATCAGATTCCAGATTTTCAAATAGTTGTATCTCGGCCAAATATTGTCCTATATCCTAACAAACCATACATCAATGGAAAGCTTATTTATTCAGCTTTTGGATGATGTATAAATCTCAATTTCGAAAAATTTAAGACTGGTTTTGTGGTCCAGGGTCACATATTTTGAAGAATGACCAAGCTGCTGTTATTCTTTCGTTGTGTGCGAGTGTGTGTGTGTGTGTGTGTGTGTGTTCACTGTCAAGTCCTAAAAAGGAAAAAGCACCATAAAATTATCCTAAAAATAGTCTATTTGACACATTTGCTATACTCCAAATATTCAATCGTCATTGTTCTACACCAGGGGTCCGAGGCCTAATAGGAGGCCTCAGCAAATTTCCAAGGGAGCCTCAAGATAACTTAAATGACTTAAATAAGACAAAGCAAGCATTTAAAAAGACAGAATGACTAAAAATATAAATATTTCTTATTTTAATTTACCTGTTCAGCAACATTTTTATCTTTAAAAAAAACAGGGTTCTCATGGTCTTAAAAAGTTTTGAGTTGTTTCTAGACATGGAAAAGTCATGTAAATATTAAAAACATTTTATCAGTTAAATTATTATTATTATTAAATCCGTATCCTTGATCCTCGTCTAGTAAATCATGAACAGCTGAAAAAGTTGTTCGGCCTTTGAAAATTGTGGACAATAAGGGGGCCTTGGAGTTGAGAACCACTATTGTAAAATGTTTTATGTTAGCTTAATTCTTTGCATTATTTACTAAAAATCCTCCCTCTGTTGTATCTTCATATTAAATATGTATAAATGAGATATGAGAGCTGGAGCAAAGGAAAGATTATAAGAGAAAAATGGCAATCTTGAAGTGAATTAAGTGTTTTTTTTTTAGCCTGTTCCTCATACAAATTATGTGTGGAAGTCATGGAAAATTGCTAGTGAATTGTTACAAAGGCAGCTATATTTTTTAATTCATAAAAACCCATTTATATTGTGTGAAAAATATTACAGAAAGCAAAATAAAACAATTATTTTCAAAATTAAATAATTGTCTTTTGTATTGATGTTGTCCTAAAAGAAACTGCTAAAATAATTCTAGAAAAAATTACAGCGATTAACATGTTTTTCATGAAATTATATGCAGATGTCTTTTTTTTTCTTACTGTTAAAATCTAGATAATATTTATGCTGTAAATATTACGAAATAATCCCAATTAATTTTATGCTTTCTGACCAGCCTGCATAATAATATAGTATAAATAATATAAATGTTTAGGATCATAATTATTTAACATTCACATATTTTGTTAATCTGTTAAGTGCAACCCACCTTTCATAATGCTTTTGACTAAACTATTTTAAAAAATCCTATAAATAAAAACAGACAATATAAATATAAAAATTAGATAAATAATTATCTACAAAATGTGAGAAACCCATAAATGTATGAAAACCCACTTCATTCTTGTCTTGTTTCCTTGTTTCAAGTGAGCTCTGATATGTACGTCTTTCTGTTCTTCAGGTTTTGAATGGCCCCTTGTCTCCAGTCTTGTATTTAGGATGCAGACATCCCAGAAATCTCTCTTTTCGGCAGAATTTCATTTCATAGTTAACACATTTTTGTGGTATAATAAGGTTTCAGTCTGAGCCTGCATGGTGTCACTGGATTTTTTTTTCATACTTCTGATTTCAAGGAACCCCAAATATGATGATCCTTTTGTGGGGCACCTCCTTTATAAAATACAAAGGCAGCTATATTTTTTAATTCATAAAAACCCATTTATATTGTGTGAAAAATATTACAGAAAGCAAAATGAAACAATTATTTTCAAAATTAAATAATTGTCTTTTGTATTGATGTTGTCCTAAAAGAAACCGCTAAAATAATTCTAGAAAAAATGACAGCGATTAACATGTTTTTCATGAAATTATATGCAGATGTCTTTTTTTTTCTTACTGTTAAAATCTAGATAATATTTATGCTGTAAATATTACGAAATAATCCCAATTAATCTTATGCTTTCTGACCAGCCTGCATAATAATATAGTATAAATAATATAAATGTTTAGGATCATAATTATTTAACATTCATATATTTTGTTAATCTGTTAAGTGCAACCCACCTTTCATAATGCTTTTGACTAAACTATTTTTAAAAATCCTATAAATATTAACAGACAATATAAATATAAAAATGAGATAAATAATTATCTACAAAATGTGAGAAACCCATAAATGTATGAAAACCCACTTCATTCTTGTCTTGTTTCCTTGTTTCAAGTGAGCTCTGATATGTACGTCTTTCTGTTCTTCAGGTTTTGAATGGCCCCTTGTCTCCAGTCTTGTTTTCACAGTAACTCTGTGTGTGTGTGTGTGTGTGTGTGTAGGTGTGATGGCGGGATTCAACATGAGCTCTGATCTCCAGAGGCCCGAGCACAACATCCCCGTGGGAACTCTCGCCGCAGTCTGCATCTCGTATGTTTCTATCCGCCACAGAAATAATCTTTCATTCTTCCTTTGTTCATCTTTACCTTCTATTTGTGTTGAGTGTACACATACTTTAGAGCAGGCGCCAAAAGGAAAATATGAGAAACAGAATTAGGATAAGCCTTCATGCCCTGAAAAAAAAAAGTGTATGACATAAAAATCAGTGTGAGATGTACTGTATGTATGGTAATGGTTGATAAGATGTTTTTATGTTTTTGAAAGAAATCTCTTATGCTCATCAGGGCTGCATTTAATTGATCATAGAAATACAGTAAAAACAGTAATATTGTGAAATATTATTACAATTTAAAATAACTTATATTTTAATACACTCAAAATTATTCTTGTATGCTCTTGTATGCAAAACATTTGTATCAATGTTGAAAACAGTTGTGCTGCCTAATATTTGGTAAAACTTTTTTTTTTCAGTATTCTTTGATTAATAGAAAGTGAAAAACAGTATTTATTTAAGATAAAATTGTTATATATAATACATATATAAATATACATAGTTGGATAATTTCTCTGTAAATAGAATGAATGACTTTGTGTATTGTGGAAATCCGCAGGTGGTTCCTGTATCTCGTCTTTGTGTTCTTACTGGGAGCCATTTGCACCAGAGATGCACTGCGCTATGATTTCTTAATAGCGGAAAAGGTAACCTGATGTTATTACAGGCTTCAGAGGATGGCCATTTTCCATGGGTTTTTCCACTATTAAGACTCATTGTCTCAACTGAAAGTGAGACTTGAGAATAGCACATTAACCACAGATAAATCCTTACAGTTGTGTTCATTGTCATGCTAATGTCATTCCACTCGTCTGCAGGCCCTCATAACAGAGGCATTTGAGGTCATTCTAAACTCTACAGCTGGTGTAAGAACGGAGCCCAGTTGCGCACTGACCTTGCACATACCCTGACTTTTGATAGCCGTACAGCTGCCAGTCAGCATAGATTACAGTAGGCTGCTGAACTAAGCTACAGAGTATGAATGTGTAAGGCTGTAGCCTGGTTGTGGCTGACCCAGCTGTTCCTTAATGTGGGCTGTGGTGTTTTGGGGTTAACACTCTACATACAAAACAATGCATATTAAATATTATATTGAATCTACAAAAATGTGCATTTTGTACATTACAGTGTTACAGAAGTTGGGGTTTCATACACATAATCAACCTTACTGTATTATTTGTAATTGCCCGTTCTCTCATTATGGGTTCTGTCAGATTACACATTGTTTCTTTGATTTACTTTCAACACATTATAAGCTTTTTTCAGTCTGGCCAAGCGGAACAGAGCTGGGTGGAGCCCTCTACATTCTCTTCCCCTCTGTGTTTGTTTTTTTCCCAGGTCTCCTTGGTTGGTTTCCTGTTTTTGCTGGGCCTCTACATCTCCTCCCTGGCCTCCTGCATGGGCGGCCTGTACGGTGCACCCAGGATCCTCCAGTGTATCGCCCAGGAGAGAGTCATCCCGGCTCTCGGATTTCTTGGGAAAGGGGTGGGTGCTTATAGGGAGATATTAATGTGGATATATTGTGGCTATTTTCAAAACAGGGAATGCAAGACTATGTGGTTTTTTGCTTAAAATAAAATGGTTAATTTTGTAGATTTGTTTTATTTAGATGTTGATAAATCAATGCTAAATCTATTCTGTGATTATAAACCATTTGGAAAATCAGGAATGTACTTATGAGTTCTCTCAGAGGTTAATAAATGATCAAACTTTAACAATTTGCTTAGTATAACGAGTGAAATTAAACATTTGTTTTTCATGCACTTTGTGACACTTTAATGAATTGTTTACCTTTTCACGCTCAATGAGTAGCTCCATAGACGACAGGATGGGTTCCTAATTATAGTGTGCCAGAGTTCGCTCCAAAAAAAAGTGAAGGAATGAATTGTAACAATTGTGGCTTTTAAAAAGCACAGCACACCCTTTCCCTCGCCTAAGCTCTGTCTGACCCCTCTCTATGGGCTACAAGTTCGCCCGAGACATCTCGCCCTGAATCAAAGTCCCAGAACAAACGCAGGAAGCACAGAAAAGACCAACCCTGGTGGATCTGGAGCTGTGCCAGCCAGTAGCAGTAGCACCTCTATCCCAGAGATTTATGGGATCTGGGTAATGACCGGTCTGAGGTGACATGAGAGATGTCTTTTTTGGGATGTTTTAACTGGATACTTCTACTCGCTCATTACATAACCTGAAGAGCATGAAAGAAATGAGGGTACAGGAGCCAAACCCATAATGTGAACTTGTAAATTATTAATAAAATCTTGTGGAGTAGATGAAATAGACATGAATAGACACTCCTGTCTGATCCCATAATGCATTGTGAGGAGCTCAGGAAAAAAACAGACAAATGTTTACTATAAATATAATATCTAAATTCACAAAAGTAACACACAGAGATGCTTCCCATGTACAAGTCAGTCACTTAAGGTTTAATTTCAGTTGGGATGCTTCCTTAGAAGGTGCCTATGTAGTGAGTAGACCGTAAGGCAGCTCACTAGGTTTTGTTACAGCCATAGATTTACCTTTCTCTTATCTTTATATGTGTTACAGCGAGGGCCCAATAAGACACCTGTGGCTGCCATCTGTCTGACCAGCTTGATCTCCATGGCATTCATCTTTGTCGGCCAGGTCAATGTACTGGCTCCCATTGTCACCATCAACTTCATGCTAACCTACAGTATAATTGATTATTGCTATTTCTGTGTGGTGAAAACCCATGAGCTGCAGGTTCAGCAAAGGACGACGCTGATCAGGAGGTCAAGCTCCAGAAGATCACTGGTGTCCAGCACTCACCCCCATTACGGCAGCAGTGGAGCCATCAGTGAACCTGTGAACGGCACACTGCTGGAGTTCACCAAAGACATGGACCAAATATTTCCATCGCCCAGCATGGACACCGCTGATCAACAGAGAGTTTCTCTTCCTGCCTCCAAGACCCGGGGCAGGAAGTCAAAGATTCCAGCTAAAGAAACGCTGATGAACAGTTTTGGGTTGGACTTGAACAGCTATGGAGAATTAGATAAAGGAAAAGATGAGAGGGAACTGGAACAAACTATTGGTTTAGATGATGATACCAGCAGCCAGATAGGACTGATGGAGTTTGACCTTACAACAGAAGCCAAGAGGAAACAGTCTTTGCCTAATTCTGGCCCAGTTGAACAGCTCCCAAGAGAACAGATAGACAGAAATGGTACGTAACTCTCTACAAAATGTTACATAACTCCTCAATATAGTGATTAAAATCTGTATTTCACCTTATATACCTTTCGTTCACAGGTTCAGAAACAAATCTTGAAGAATCAGAAATAAGATCAATCCAGGGTTCGGTCTATGCCAGATTTTGCAACCACTGGGTTTCGTTAGTTGGTGTAAGTTTGGCAAAAATATCCAGCCTGTAAGCAATAAGCTTGTAAGTTCACATTTTTAATGCTGTTTTTATTTCTTTAGGCATTGTGCTCCTTTATGATAATGTTCGTTATCCAGTGGATGTACGCCTTGATTAACATTACAGTCGCCCTTATCCTCTTTCTCTACATTGGAACAACAAGCCCAGGTTTGCCAACAGGTAATTGTAATTGTTCCTAACTTTTTTAATTGATTTGAAAAATCTTTGAGAAAATTTGAGAAATAACCCCAGTTGCTCATCACTGAAAATTGTCTTATAAACACTTCGGATGCCACACACTGCTTATTTCAGCGAAATAAGCCTAATAAGACTAAGAACTTAAAATACACTTTCTATCGGTTTGTCACACTTTTGATATCAGGATGATTATTTTAACCATTTAAATGAAAGTCAAATAAAAATAGAGGTGTATTATGCACATATCCATCATTATATTTATGATGACTTTTCTTGTCAGGAAATAAAAAATTACATTCTCTGCCCACAGGTGCAGCAGCTCGCTTCAGTTTCTTCAGGTGGCTCAAGACCTCGCTGCAGAATTTGGGGAGGTAAGTTACATAGTCTTCTGTAGGCAGACTTGACTTTTTCAGCATAAAGTCTGATCCTTATTGCAGCTTTGTGTGGCCAAGAACCACTTACTTAGACAGGAAAAGACGTCTGATCTACAATTTATGATGTTTAAGGGCAGGTTTACCAGATACATAAAATACCACAATAATGGCATTGCCATTTCCACCAATTCTTGTATAGAAAACACAAAAATAGATCCGATAGGAATTTCTGTCCATCCAAAAGAAAAGTACTGATTATTTTACAGACATTCTGCAGAACACCAATTTGAGTTAACAGAATATATTTCGAATATGTTACTATTCCAAATGAGCTGAGACTGAGAGTAGGTGTTACATGAAGATACATTCAAAGCTATTGTCTCCATGCTCTATGGAATATTTTAAAATGTCTTCTGATTAATGATGCTGTTCTTTAGCTTGGCGTATTATGAGAGTTCTTCAATTAAAACTGAATAAAGCACTTACAAACATATTACTGTTATGTGGGTTTGTGGCAGAGTCCATTGTGGATGATGTGATTAGAACTATGAATGTACGCAAAACCGAACCTCACATTACCAATCATTTGCCTCTCTTATTAGGCAAGATGGGGCCCTTCAGGACCAGATTGTGGTGACACCCTCTTTGTCAGCTGTTGGCATGGAAACCAGGCAGCTAACAGAGGAAAATGCAGACTTTGCCTTCCGTGATCGTTACCATCACTCCTCCTTTATCACCACCACAGACAAGATTGTCCATCCTCAGTCCAACTGAGCATGTAACAACTGTGCCCTGCTAACCAGCTGGACTGCAAAAAGTGAACACATGGGACTAAATCATCACTCACTTGAAATATATAGGCTATTTTATTTACTGCATTTGTCAGGTAGTACTTGGAGGACGGAGCTTTATTTTCTGGAAAATCTGAAGGAAACTAATAATGTTTATCTGAAAAATCGGGAATGTGCAATCAGAGTCATGCATTGTGAATTAATTTGCCGTGAAGATCTTCTCTGCTGAAATGCTTGTATAAGGTTTAATATGCACCGTGGGCATTTCATTTTCAGATTATAAGTAAATTTTGTCTTTTATTTTTTATTGAGCTCACTGAGGTCACAACACTCAGAAGTGTCATGACCATTCAAACTAGAACGTGCCCCCTTTCAACTTCCTGGCCTAGTTAATTCTTTATAAATTAATTTTGAACTACCAAATAATTTATTTTTGATTATTGAAATGCGAAATTAATATAGCCTTGGTTTAATATGCAAACCTATTTGCATGCTGCATGTCTGTTTACATGGCAGTCAAGTTGCAGCTTCTGCAGATCAGTTGCACTAAACAGAAGATCTGTCTTCTCTGCTTACCTTCATGTTCATGCACCAAACTCATTAGACTTTTTTTTTTTTCTCAGAGGAACAAAAGTGATTTAGCATGAGAATCAAAATCTGTTATTTCCATACTGTGAAACTACATGGTAATCTGTCAATCCCGAACTCTAATTGATTGTATGCAAGGTTGGGATTTGAGCCCAGGTCCCCTTGCTTTCTAAAAGAAGTCTACCATGACAGTAAAGTGCAATTCACATTAAAAATGAATAACTGCTGTGATTACATTTCTAGTTCAGGAGCATGCAGTTTAGCTCTGTTTTATGCTCATTCATGTTGCCAGGAAATGGCAGATCTTTTTACAAATAATTGTCAAGTTGCATTATCACTGGTGTCAGTTGTGAATGTCATTTAACGTGTTATATTTTATGAGTGTTTCTCCCATGTCTTAATGCATGAGTGTCTAAAAGTGGGGAGCAAATGATTTCGTGTAGAGTTAATGCACTGGTGTTTGATTTCGACTTGAGAGGGTAAAATAAGAATTCCACCTGTTGTAGCATCATTTGAGGGTCATAAACCGAATTGAGCACACATTTGTGAAAGTGTGTTCATCCAGAGGAATGGGGTGGAAACCGCTATCGCCTGCCTGAGGGGAGGAGTCACCTCCTCGCGCTGCATGAAATATAACCCTTCCAAGTCTTCATCTCCAACTTTAAAACCAACATAAGGAATTTACTCATGGGAAACTGTTAAAGGGACTCACTTTCCGATGGTGACCCGGACCACTTTGGCGTTTTATTTATTAGGAAGTACGCCCGGTCGCCTTTATAATGGAAACGTGTGTCGAGAGACGCGCTTGCCGTGTGGTTTTCACGGTCTTTCTGCTTGTCCTAAATACTGTGATTGCCGAGACTTTCTCTCCAGACGCGGACACCGATAACCCACTGAGTACCGAAACTTTCTTTACCCGAACAACTGGTGTAAAACAAACCTCCTCCTGGCCGGGGAGAAAGGCCACTACAACAGCTGTGGATCTATCGAGTGGACTGGGGGAGAGGACGGACATTCCCGCCAGTGTGTCCATCACTGGAGCCCGGGAGGGTAAGACTTCCATGCGCTGTGATGCCCAGAAGTGCTGACTAGATCGACAGATAAACTTGACCAAGCTGAGAATTTTATTTTGAGGTGTACAGCAGTATTGTTTTGAAACAAAACTGTTGCCGTTAGATTGCAAAGATTCCACCTCCACTCAGTTGCTCATGTGATGAAGACTGAATTGTATAAATCAGGAAAGCCTTATAATAAATGTGTATAAAATATATTTAATGTTATATTTATAAATGTTAGCTCAATTCCATGCATTAGTATAATAATAATTAGTGTAGTAGTAGTAGTAGTAATAATAATAAAGACAGCTATGTTTTTATTATGCAGCTGAAGTACTGTCAAGTATGAAGTCTGAACTAATGAGATTACTTGCACTCAGTTTCCTCAGTTTTTGGAAGAGCATCTCTTTTAATGAATGACCTCCTTGGCTCATGACCATCCTGGTTCATAAACTGTTCCACTTTCTTGAGCCAATGAGTTCTTTTCAATCTGCAGTTTATGTTAGTGATTGTTTGTGTTTGATTTATGTGATTTAATTTGGAGAACTTCCACTCCATGTCATTTGTCCTGTTGACATTTTGGCATCAAGTGTGCAATTAAGTAAATATAATTAAATGCCGTGAATTGGCTCTGATATACATTGTTTTAAAACATTTTGTAGTGAATTTTGAGTAAATATATATATATAAAAATGGGTGTTTAAAAAGCTTTTCTGCTATTATTATATATTAATATTATTTTGGTCATTAGCCACTCTTTCTAGTTCTGCATTTTAAAATTGGTCTTAAAAAATCCTTATGGATTTATAGCCTTGTATCTCATTTAAGACATCAGAGGATTTGGGGATGGATATCAATTATGTGACGCATTATTCTAGCTTTACTTTCACATGTATATCTGAGACGTGACGATACACATTTTGATACACCTATGAGAAAGGTTAGTATAAATTGTGAGTTGAGAAATATGCATTTTGCTTTCCAAACCAAAAATCTCCAGTCTTTGCAGCTGTGATTGAGCACAATCTTTTTGTATTTTGCATCAATCTGCACTGGGTTAGGCACAAAAAATACCGTATTTGACTTCTATTTTATCTTACACATTACTGTCCAGATCATATTAATCTACTTTCTATAGAAACGGCTTGTTTTTAGGCCTTTCTTCGTCCCCATCAGTTTGAGCTGACTGAATATCCCTGAACATAATGCAAGCTGAAAGATCTTCTGTTGAAAGATCCCTGTAATGCAAGCCCAAAGAGACATTTTCAGTGAGTGAGTCAATTTTTGGATAGTGACATGACCCAAAATCATATCATGGCTTTCCACACTAAAATCAACTTCAACAGATATTGTGCTGGGAACATTCATTTCACAATAGCTCTTTCAGATTCGAATGAATTGCTACAAATCAGAAGTTTGATTGTTGTATCTTATGATTGTATTTTATAGCCATATGTACAGCAGAGCCACGTTGCAGTTTCTTACTAAGAAATAAAGCAGCAAGTATATCTTACTGTACTTAATTTAACAGATTAACATATACAAGAAAAAAATGAAGTGGAAATTCTGCATCAGAGCTGCTAAATTTATTAACTGGGTAAAAAGCATGTTTTGTTTATTTGTATCATATTGGAGTATCTTGGGATGATTTGTTGACAATAAAGTAATGCTACTCAATATGTTTTAACCACCCTGTTTAAATAGCTTGAATAATCAGAGGTCCTCTTGATTATAGTTTTGCCTGTATATGAACTCCATGCAGGCAGTGACAACACTGTAATATGGTCTTTGCTAGGTCAGCTGAAGGAAGGAAGCAGGTCCCAATGGGTCAGATCCCCTCCATTTTTAGGGCCCAAGCTTTTGTTAGGTTAGACGAGCTTGGCTGCCAATTGTTCTCCACCCAAAATCATTACATCCGCAGTCACTTCTGAAAACATCTCACATAGTTCATGAGGTTTCCCAAGGCTCACACCACATGAAGCGCACCCTAGTGGACATGCTTCTCAAATTTCCCCTTTCCTGAATTTCAATTTCTTATTTTCAGTTTACAATACATAGTTTCCAATATATTGTTCTTTATTTCCCCAAACCAGGACATTCAGAAAAAACTTTAAGCATCTCTACAAACACAGCTGACTGGAGGATGACCTTGGATGATTCCACTGAACATCTGCAGACTGACAAAGAGTTTACCCATAATGCCACAGCCCAATGGGAGGGTCCATCAGTAGCATCGCACAGCATCACCAGCCACCATCCCATTACAGAGGCTCGAACAGTGCGAGAGGTTCCCACAACGGATCTGAGAGACATTGACACCACCGACTCGGTCTCTCACACTGATAGCACCTACATTTCCACAACAAACCGAGTCAGAGAACACACACTCCTCTCGGTGACCTCCAACAGCACCTCTGTGTACACTGAGGACTCCAATTCCTCGGATGCTGTCTCTCAAACCTCCAGCTGGGAAGTGAGAACGTCAGGAGCCACCCAGGGCAAGGAGGAAACCGTAGATGTATCTACATTGTCTGAACAGACTGAACCCACTTTTGAAGATCATAATGCCACCAATGCAACTCAAGGCCACTCTTTGGAGACCGAGCAGTCAACGTTTTCACATGGCACTGAGTCACAGACGGGACAATCTAGTGTCACAGGACAGACTGTTCAACAGGTGTCTGATCATGACAATCCAAATTCAACACCCCCTCTTACAATGATCAACAGAGATGAAGGGGAAATGGACTCCACATCAGTGAGTGGTGGGACGTCTTATACAGAAACCGGTGACTCTGTGTCATCTATCCCACCTTTTACCTCCGGTGGACACAGTGCCACTAGCATATCCCAACAGAGCCGTGATTCCACAGTGACTTATTCTCTGGATACTGATGCTTCCACTGAGTTTTCTACTGGATCTGTCAGCTCAACTGGCCGTGAGGAACTCGAAGGTTCTCCGACCCATACAGTGGAGGAGACAACCATTCAGGGCCTGACCACTGCACCCCCAGTGCCTGAAGATGTAGCCACCACAATTGATGACTCATTTACGACGTTCCTTGCTGGCAAACCACCCTTCGTCCCAAAAACGGATGATCAGACCAACACAGATGTGGTGCCAACATCTGCCATGCCAGCAACTCATAGGCCACAGGTTACAGAGGAAGCCACTGATGAGGCATCAACTGTTTACAGTTCTACCAACACTTTCACTACAATGATTCCTCCCGTCACCACCCGTCAGGTCCAACCGAGCACCACACCGCTAGCCCAAACAGAACACACTACCATCGCTACCACAGATATTGTTCAGGTACTGCGGACGACACCCACCACAGCCCAACGTCCGCTTACCTCCACTACTGGTGGACCACAGGCACCCAGTACATCTGATTCTGCTGACGTCACCACCTTGCACTTAGAAACCAGCACGGCAACACCAGGGAACACTACTGCACATGGCCGACGTGCAACAACACCTTACAGCAAGAGCACCCCAACCAAGACCACTGTGGTGGAAACCACCCGGAATCACACGGACAGAAGCACAACAGAGATGGGAATGACAACCACGCAAATGCCATTTAAGTCAACAGCATCACCAGGTATGTTCAACTTTTAGTATTTATACAGTGACAAATCATCATTTTTTGGTATTATTAATGGTGCTTGTTAAGGATTGACCGATATTACAGGTCTGGCCTGGCTATAACAGATAAATGTGCAATATTAAATGTATATGCACTACCATTCTAAAGTTATAATTAAAGACATCTGTAATGTTACAAACAATTTATATTTTAAATAAATGCTGCTCTTTTGAAGTTTCTGTTTTAACAAAGAATGATTTCAAATATAAAGCAGCATTTGAAAATATATTAAAATAATGTCATAATATTACTGTTTTGTTGTATTGTTTTATCAAATAAATGCAGCATTGGCGAGCATAAGCAACTTCTTATAAAAACCCTAAAACCCAAAGACCCTAAGTGTTCGAACAGTAGTGTGCATTTGTCTAAATAAATGCTAAAGTGAATTAAGGCATCACAGCTGTATAATGTACTGGATGAAAAATAGACATTCATTTTAAAATTTCATAAAGATTACATTTAACAGTGTTATTAAATTAATAGTGTTTTTTAGTGTTTAGTTTTATTTTGTGGAACAAAAAAAGAAGTTATTTAAAAGAACAATGACTTCCATTATAAAAGCATGAAACACTGCAACATTTCTCAAATAATCTTCTTTTATGTTCCACAGAAGAAAGAAAGTCATAAATGATGACAGAATTTTTATTTATTAAAGTGTTTCTTTAGCAGATGATAAAACAGACAAACAAATCCCATAGACTGAAATGGAGACTTGGTTTGGCTCTTTTGACTCCGACTAGTAAGCATCACTCTAGTAACTGTATAGCATAGTGTTAAAAATTCCTTAGAACCACTCTGGCAACCACACTAGTGTCGTAAACGTGATTTTGGCAAAATACAAATCTTAATGTTAGCAGTTGTTCCGTTGTTTACAGTTGTAAACATTGTTTGTGAATTCCCCTGTTCATTTGATTTACTTTGAACAATTCAAGCCATCTCTTTCTCCTCTGTAGATCATGTGTGTGGGCCTCAGACTTGTGCAAATGGAGGCCACTGTGTTAGATCAGCTAAGGGAAGTTACCACTGTCAGTGTATGCCTGCATGGACAGGACCCTTCTGCACGGAACGTAAGAAGCCCACTTAAATCTACACCATCTTTCATCTTGGATGTGGCAGTCACTTGACTGAATGTTAAAAGTGCAGTGACAAACAGCAACAGGAATCAACTTACCTAGATTGCCACAGCTCCAATGTTGTGATATCAAATGAAAGGTTTTAATCATGCTAGTCACTAGAATATAGTATATCATAAATACATTAAATTATTGTTTTCTATTTCTATGTCAGTATTTCCATTTTCTTCCATTTATTTAAACAAGATTGACGATGATAGCATATCGTTTGTCCATAATAAATCACATATGCGTCTAGTAATACTTGTTTTCATGAGGGTCTGTGACAAAAATGAACAATGATTGATTAGGCTGTGTGTTTTTCTGTAGATGTGGATGAGTGTGTGAATAGTCCGTGCCCCCAGGGTTCAGTGTGTGTCAACACAGGTGGCTCTTTCAGCTGTCAGTGTGCCCTGGGCTATGACTTGGAGGATGGCCGCAGTTGTACGCAAGGTAAGTGTTCAGTTGTCCTCAATAAATTAATGTGTATAAAATAGAGTGCATAAATATAATTTGGTGATAACGCTACGATAACCTTATTGTTTTCGCTTTGGCTTTACCCTGCAGTGAAGACATTTTTGGGCACTTTCACCGTCAATACCTCAATGCATCTCAGAAGTTCAGGTCCGCATGAGCTGCACAGAGAGATTTTACAGCTGGTATGCAACATTGTACTGCATCACACACCTGACTTCTCCACCTTACAACCACAAAACCCACAGCCAATCAGCTAATGCAGAAACCATTATAGAAACAGAGAATGAAATTGGTTGCAGATGATAATGTGATGTACTGAACATGGAGTTGAGGTTAATATTATACATTTGTGTATTGGTTTTTCAGCTCAATACCTCGCTCTCCATCTTCCATGGCTACCGACGTTCCACTTTACATAAAAAGTACGTTTCTACTTTTTATCTTTCAGAGACCCAGCAGGAATAGGCCATATGTTGCACTAAAAATCAACTGTACCATGCAGCTACTGATGTCAACCAAGCGTCAATATCTTTTCTATACATTTTGCTATACCATTTATACAGCCTTATTCAGTGTCACATGATCCTTCAGATATATTTGTGCAGCTATCAGTAGGCAGAACTGTTTATAGAGACTAATGCAAGAAATAAAGTGAAAATACAGAGTGAGATGTGTCCCAAACATGAAATAACGTGGTAACATAAAGCTGATTTGATACCATTTTAATATTTAATAAAAATGATTAATTAAATTAAATGGATTCTCCAAAAATACACTGAACTAAATTATAAACGCAACACTTTTGTTTTTGCCCCCATTTTTCATGAGCTGAACTCAAAGATCTAAGACTTTTTCTATGTACACAAAAGACCTATTTCTCTCAAATATTGTTCACAAATCTGTCTAAATCTGTGTTAGTGAGCACTTCTCCTTTGCCGAGATAATCCATCCACCTCACAGGTGTGGCATATCAAGATGCTGATTAGACAGCATGATTATTGCATAGGTGTGCCTTAGGCTGGCCACAATAAAAGGCCACTCTAAAATGTGCAGACATAGAAAAAGTCTTAGATCTTTGAGTTCAGCTCATGAAAAATGGGGGCAAAAACAAAAGTATTGCGTTTATAATTTAGTTCAGTGTATATTACAGCATTTTTAGAAATATAGCCAACATTACTGTTCAAATGTTTGGTGGAAAAAATTTTTTGTTTGTTTTTGGAGGGTTTCTTATGCTCACCAAGTCTGCATTTTTAAAATAAAAAATACAGTAAAAGCAGTATTTTTGATTACAATTACAGTCTAAATATTTTCTATTTTAATGCATAAAAAAATTCTTCAGTGTTACATGATCTTTCAGAAATGTCTAATGTTGTAATGTAAACGGTTGTGATGCTTAATATTTTTGCGGAAGCTTTAATACTTTTTTAAGGATTCTTTGATGAATAGAAAGAACAGCATTTATTTAAAATATAATTTTTTTGTTACATTATAAAATCAATTTAATACATTCTTCCTGAATTAAAGTATTAAAAAAAAAAAAATGACTGACCCCAAACTAATATAGTGATACTGTTATCAGTAGAAATTTTCTTCATACCACCTACAGTACCTGTTGCCAAGTAATTCATAGTACTCAGTAATATTACTCTTATATGCAAATTCATATTTTCACTTCTAACTTGAATTCAGGGCATGATTTTTCTTTGTTCTCACATGTGAATGCATATTCCTTGTGCAGAGATGGAGAAGATGTGCAGATTTCAGCGGTGAGCATGTTTTCACTCTCCACCAATGTGACCAGCACGGATGTCTTCAACAGCATCCAGACGTCCCTGAGCAACTGCAGCCGGACGTACTCACACTGCACCATTAAGCTTCAGCACCATCTCTCCTATCACGGTACTATTCAGCGCTCACTATCTACATCATACTGTTATCTCAAAGCCATCCCCTTCTGTTCTTATCCTCCACTCCACTCCACCACTTCGGAGATATGATAATACCAGTCACACAATACACACGGATAACACAGTCTTGAGGGGGGGCTCTCTTAGCCACTAAAATAATATTTTGGAAAGCTCTTTGTCACACTGTTTATCTCTGGGAAGCCATTTGTTCTGAAACACTTCTTTCTGTTTAGCGGAGAGCCTGTGTTTGGCCCAGAAGACCAAGTGTGATTTGCAGTACTCTGCGTGCACGGACTCTAGCGGGACCCCGTACTGTCAGTGCAAACCAGGATACTTTAAAAAGAACCCAGAGGACATGACCTGCAGAGGTAAAACATATGCTTGTGTCTTTTCAGTTCTTTGATTGAATATATTTAAACTGTGGGACGCTGTACAAATGAATGCCAAGTTTCTCATTTAGAATTTTTTATTTGGTTCACTGTTTTTTAGACTGTGGAGATGGACTCAAGCTTGTTAACGGCAGCTGTGCTGAGTAAGTATTTGTTTTTCAATGTTTGGACACACCTAATAATTATAGATTATTGTTTTTTTTCCCCACAGTTTAGAATAATAAAGTCATTCAAAACGATCAAATAGCACAAACTGAGTATGAAGTAGTTAAATTTTTTTTTTTTAATCTTGCATTTTAGCCAGTGTAATTTTAGTATCATTGATGTACTATTATAGTTTTTTGGAATATTTAAAATTAGTTTTCACTTTAATTTTAGTTAAAGATTTTATAATGTGGTATTTATTAATTTTCATTATGTTTATTTTTTAGTTATTTTAGTACTTCAACCTAAACAAAATGAAACAAAATAAAATAATTAAAAAACTAAATAAATAATAAAATTCAGTTAACATTTATTTCAACAAATTTTTTTTATTTTTATTTTTTTTTCCTCAACCATTTTTATGGTTCTAGTTTTAGATAAAAACTCAGATTTTAGCTTCTTCAAGCTTCTTAGCCACTTTTACAGCTTTAACCATTCTGGGCATTCTCTCAATTTCATGAGGTGCCACCCTGAGATGCTTTTTAAACACTTTTGAGAGTTCTCATTTATGCTGGGCATGTTTGTCGCTATTTGGCTGCTTTCCTTGACTTTACGGTCCTACTCATCTATTTCCACTTTCAGGCATTTAAGAATAAGCCCTTAGATCAAAGGTTTAAAAGGATCATGGGAAACAAATTTAATTAATTTTGTCCAACATTTTGTCTTGTAGGTGTGTATTACCTTGACAATTTTCAAGCGACAGCTGAAAACTCATCTCTTTCGACGCTACTTGACTTCATCCTAAAAAAAAAAAAAAAAACGTTGTCTTTCTCCTTATTTATTCCTTCCCTAAAGGCGGGCGTACACGGTGCGATTCTGAAGATCGGAACGTCGTGAGCTCTGGCACATGTCACGATTGAGTTTATCCGAAAATCGTACGGAGGCAGTCACACACGACACGAATTTACTATGATTTTTCAAACTCTGACGTAAGCATTACGTTTCACGCCATTCATAAAAATATGGATTTTGAGGACAAAATAGTTTTCTTTGTGGCAGGCGGCTTGTGACATCCAAAAAAAACAAAACGAATAGCAGAGAAAAGCATGGACTTTCTGTTCTTCATAAAGAACTCGAGGGAGTAGGCCATTTCTGAATTTCTGCTCGTTTTGCCGGAAATACAACAGGCATATTCATTCATAAAGGTGAACGGCACATTTGGAATAACAAATAAAAAATAGAACTGTATAATTAAACTAAAATTATTATAGACTATATGGTTTTTGTCATCTTCTGATTGGTCAACTTCAGATGGATCGCCAAATCGTCTCGTTCAACTGCACATACGCCACGAATTTAAACCGACAGCATCCGATTTTTTTTTACATGTTTGAAAATTATTGGGAGGTGCTAGTAACGTCTCGGATCGGCCGTGATTCTTCTCACATGGTACGAGCCGCGAGCATCTGCGATTTTCTCCCGAGAGAAAAAAAATCGCCTGTGAGCTCGTACGACAGCAAAAATCGCACCGTGTACGCCCGCCTTTACTAACTTGTACTTATTTGAACAATGCCTAAAACTTGGTACTACGAGCTCTTTCTGTGTCTGTTTGCCTCTTTAAGAAGAATCTCATTATGTATTCCCTTAATTGTAAGTCGCTTTGGATAAAAGCATCTGCAAAATGACTAAATGTAAATGTATTAGTATGTGTTTTGTACGTATGTGTTTTTGCAGAAAAAAAGAACAACTTTTTTTTTACTTCTTCAGGTGCATGTTTGGATTTGGAGGTTTCAACTGCAATAACTGTAAGATTTTATTTTAATTTATATTATATTTTGATTGATAAAATCTTTGATATAAAAATATTTAAAAATAGCTTTATTTTTATAACTTAATTATTTAGCGGCATGATATATAAAGCTTGTGAAAAATGTTAGGTGGGTTAGGGGTGTCATCTTTATGTCACTAAAATAATCTTGTGTTTAATAGTCTATAAGCTGATAGCTGTGGTGGTCTTTCCTGCTGGAGGAGCTCTTCTGTTGATTGTCATCATTGCTCTTATAGTCACCTGCTGCAAGTAAGATCTTGAAATAAATATACTGCTTTCCTCCTTATTTTACAGATCAATATCTTGGGAAGTTTTAAGCTACAAAAATGTCTCAAAAATATTTTTGCTGTCTGCATCCTCAGAAAGGACAAAAATGACATCAACAAAATCATTTTCAAAAGTGGAGACCTTCAGATGTCGCCCTACGCAGAGTTTCCTAAGAGTAATCGTGTGTCTATGGAGTGGGGCCGAGAGACTATTGAGATGCAGGAGAATGGCAGCACCAAAAATCTCCTGCAGATGACAGACATTTATTACTCGGTAGGTGATCATATGCACCTGTCATAAGCTTTTGATTGATTTTACATTTGATCACTCCAGAGATTTCATTGATCATTTATAGTGAATTGTAAAATCAGAAATGAGCCATGGCATTTATGGAGGCTTTGGTTTTTTAATGTGTCTTATATGGAAGCTTTTTTTCTACAATGGAATAAAAATATAAAAAAGCAAATTGCAACTTTTTATTTACAATTCTGTGTTTTAATTTCACAATTCAAACTTTTATTTGCAGTTGTGTTGTTAATGGTAGCTTGCAATTAACATCTCGCAATTCTGCCTTTTTTCTCAGAAATTGTGAGAAGTCTGAATTATGAAGCTCACAGTTAGTTTGAATTGTGAGAATACACTTGCAATTGTGAGGAAAAAAAGGCAGAATTGTGAGATAAAAAGTTGCAATTACTATTTTATTTTATTTTTTGTTTTGTGGCAGAAAAACACTTCACATGGCCATGCACATCCTGAGTTAGTGAATTTTCCACATGATTAGCTAATATGTGACTGCTGTTCTCTCTTAGCCTGCACTTAGGAACTCTGACCTGGAGCGTAATGGCCTGTATCCATTCTCCGGTCTCCCCGGTTCCAGGCATTCCTGCATCTACCCAGCTCAGTGGAACCCTTCCTTCATAAGCGACGATTCACGGCGAAGGGACTACTTCTGACGGCCTTAGCCAGCAGGTGTGCAATTTGATTCTGCATATAAGCTCTCACGGCATGGTTGGACCTGCCGCAGATCCTGGAGCTGGATACTGACCACTAAAGGCCTTTGAATGTGAAAATGAGCTGGCAGGAAAATACCATTATCTGTGAGAATGGAAGAAAGCTGCAAAGGCCTGTCTGGGTCAATTTAGCATTAGAACACAGTGCCACAATAAGACTTTAGTTTCTGCTGTGGAGCTGATGAACTGATGTTCTCATAACTCCTCGCTGAGCGTTTATACTTGTGGAAGTCAGTTAAATTAGAATAACACATAAGATGCCTGGGCTACAGTATAACTTTTATATTCTAAAAGTTTGCACTATGAACTCCTCAAACAGATATTATCTCAAATGGAAAAAGCCATAAATGTATCATATTTATACTTGGAATAATGTACCCAACTGGTTTGTACTGTGTTTTGTGTGTGATGGGGTATCTGTATGTCTGTTTGTGAATGTTAATCAAAAGTTAAAGAGATGGATCACTCCAAAATGAAACTTCTGATATCAAGTACTCACCCAAAACATGTATACCTTTCATTTCTTGGTCTTATTGACCATTATTAGTATGTTTTATGGTGCGTTTTGGAGCTTAACAGCCCCTGGTCCCCATTCACCTACATTGTATGGAATAGAGCAGTGTAAACATTGTTTAAAACATCTTTTTTTTTGTTCCGTCTTGGAAAAATAATGTGTTTGGAACAATATGAGGGTGAGTATATGATCACATTGTTACATTTTTGGGGTAAACCATCCCTTTAATGCTTTGTAGTGGTAGAGTTTTTATCAGAGAAATGGTGTGAGATTTACGCTGGAGAACTAAACGTGTGTAAAAGCTGGTAGGATTTTGAAACAATATTACTGGATGCAGCATTCGTGTGAAATGTAGCAAATAATGCCACAAGGTATTACAGTTTGTTTGAACAACAGTAATAATCATAAAACACAGTGCTGCCTTGTTTGTTTCCTAATTTATTTTATTTAAGTTTTCTGTATCAGATAATGTAGTATGATCTGAGGACCTCCCATGTGTTTGTATGGATGCTTGGTGGTGCATGAGAGGATGGACTTCCCCCTTTTTCCGGGTGTCCATTTTTATTTTAGCTAATGTGTGTTCTTGTGAGATGTGCTTTATTTGTAATCTTTAATATCAGACACTGCTTTCCTCATTAGCATTTTCCCCTCCTCTGTGGATGGACACTTGAATCTGGCGTTGTAGTCAGAATTGTATTGTAAAATAAAAGAGAAATAAAGTATGATTTCTTATGTTTGTGCTTAATGTAATTGTTCATTTCTTATCTGACCATTTACTAAGCCCAGCCTTAAAAGACCAAGCTTACCTTATAAATGGTTGTCATCTGCTGTTTTCTTTCTTCGACAACTTTTGGCCTTTTCTAATGTAAGCATAATGAAGGATCTTTATATTTGGATAGTTGTACATGTACAGTATAACATCAGCGAGAACAACTTTTTGACAACTGACAACTAGATAATTTACACTATTAACTGTATGTGACCCTGGACCACAACCAGTCTTCAGTTGCATGGGTATATTTGTAGCAATAGACAACAATACATTGTATGGGTCAAAAATTATCGATTTTTCTTTTATGTCAAAAATCATTAGGATATTAAGTAAAGATCATGTTCCATGAAGATATTTTGTAAATTTCCTCCTGTAAATATATTAAAACTTAATTTGTGATTAGTAATATGCATTGCTAAGGACTTCATTTGGACAACTTTAAAGGTGATTTTCTCAATATTTTGATATTTTTGCACCCTCAGATTCCAGATAATCAAATAGTTGTATCTTGGCCAAATATTGTCCTATCCTAACATACCATGCATCAATGAAAAGCTTATTTATTCAGCTTTTATTATTATTCAGCTTTTCTTTAATGATGTATAAATCTCAAAAAAAAAAAAAGATTCTTATGACTGGTTTTGTGGCTACTACAAATTCAAAGTATTCAACCATACTATAGCTTTGTTTAAGGAACAAACTTAAGTTAAATACTTTATTAGTTTTTACTTCTGTAGAAATTACAAAATGGACTGCAAAAAATATCTACAAAACACACTAAATTTGATTTGAGAGCACAGCAGGAGCAGTGGAGCACACTTGACTATGAATATAGTGCATGAGTCGTACAATGACTTTTATGCCGCCTCATTTTTACATTTAAGTGAAGTGAAGTGAAGTGAAAGTGACATGTGGCCAAGTATGGTGACCCATACTAGGAATTAGTGCTCTGCATTTAACCCATCCAAAGTGCACACACACAGCAGTGAACACACACTGTGAACACACACCCGGAGCAGTGTATGGCAAGTGTATTCTATTAAAATCAATTTTCCATGGAAGAAAGGAAGTCATACGTTTTGGAACGACGTGAGGGTAAGTAGACTAAATGAGTCAGTGACAGTAAATTACAATTTTGGAACCATTTGTGTACCAGTGTCCTTTGTCATGTGGTGCCCTCTGGCTTTAGAAATGCAAATAAATGCAGATGGATGGAAGTCATGATCCATGGACCAGAGTAAATGCATTTATAATCACGAAGCATTAACATCAAATTGACCACAGTAAGTAATTTAAAAAAAGTGGAAATGATTCAGACAGAAACTAATTTCCATTTCAAATAAAGTTTCTACAGTATTTTGTGCATTGAAATGCACAGAAGAGCTGAACTTAATAAGTTTTTATGTTTTCCCCCCTGTATAGCTTAATCCAAACGTCATGTTTCATTACTCAGATTTTACATACACTCTTAAAAATAAAGGTGCTTCAAAAGGTTCTTCAAGCGATGCCATAGAAGAACCATTTTTGGTTCCACAAAGAACTATTCAGTCAAAGGTTCTTTAAAGAACCATCTCTTTCTTACCTTTTTATAATCTGAAGAACCTTTTTTCGCCCCAAAGAACCTTTTGTGAAACAGAAAGGTTCTTCAGATGTTAAAGGTTCTTTATGGAACCATTTAGACAAAAAGGTTCTTCTATGGCATCGTGAAGCACCTTTATTTTTAAGAGTGTAGGTTTACATAGGTTTTTGCAGATGTTATTGTCCCCCATTCTAAATGTATTTAAATTATGGGTGGAGCCTTCACACCACCTGTGTACATATAAGAAATATCTTCCTCTTGTTGGCCAGTGGAAAAAATGTTTTCGTTTATTGTTAACATGAGCATGGTGGCATTTGCCATAGTAAATGTGCCTGTTTCTATTGCCACTATTCTGATGAATATGTTTTTCGCCTACTGTATGATTTTTTCTCAGAAAGGACCAGTCAACAGCATAAAACCGCTGCTTAATGTTTTACTGTGGTCACTTATTGGATGCAATCTTATTCTTAACATTTTAAACCTTTTATTAGTTTTTTTCGACTTTGTTGATCCAGGTCCATCGATTCACATTCTTTTAGCAGCCGGTATTCTCTTTGCCATGTGGACTGGTTTTACTGCCTCCCTTGCTCTGAATGTGTGTTGCTACTTCCAAATTGTTCCTGTACGGCGGCCTTTTTTGATCTGGATGAAGAAGCACTTCAGACTGTTTGTGTACTTGGCATTATTTGTCGACAGACTCTTCTTTCTGTCTGAATTCCTTGTACGTGTTATCTGGGAAGTTTCTGCAATGAACTTGAATTCAACAACAGCTCATGTGAACATCACCAGTGAAACAACAGATTTAGGAATCTACATATTCTCACACATAGACTTTTGGATTAGATGTTGCTATTTTTTGCTTTGTCTGGGCATTATGCTGGCATCAAGCAGTGCGACTGTTGTCTACTTGTGGAATCACATAAAGAGAATGGAGGAGAACGCCAGCTCTTTCTCTACTCTTCGTAAAAAGCAGCAGATGAAAGTGACAATCTTGGGCATTATACAGGGTGTCCTCTTCTTTTTCGCTTCAGGGTGGCTCATGACAGAAGAGCTCTTTGCGTATTTTACTGCTTTTATGGATCAGGGCGGCCATTTGATTTGCACTGTCATGGCACTGTACTCTCTTGTAACAACCATCCTTTTAGGTGTTGGTCAGGCAAAATTCTACCTAATGGCTAAAAATATTGGCAGCAAACTACAAACCCTGAAATGTCCTCTTCCCTAATCAGTCACTTTAGGTGATGTCGCTTCTGCCAGCACTTTTTTTATAGTCTTGATTTAAAGGGAAGCATTGTTGGGACAGCACTTAAACTAAATCAGTCTAAAAATGTTTTGAAGTGTAGGTGGATGTTAAATGTTTTCATGCGCATGAAGTAATTTATAGTTCAAAAACTTTTTTTTTCTAAAGCCAGAGTAAATACTGAAAATAGCTTTTGGTTGAAATTGCTCCTTTTAGGTTAGAACTGTTAAAGGGTTAGTTCACCCAAAAATGAAAATTCTCTGTCATTAATTACTCACCCTCATGTCGTTCCAATGCAAACCCGTAAGTCCTTCGTTCATCGAATTAAGATCTTTTTGATGGAATCTGAGAGCTCTCTGACCCTCCATAGACTGCAATGATATTACCACGATCAAAGCACAGAAATGTAGCAAGGACATTGGTAATATAGTCCATGTGACATCAGGGGTTCATCTGTAATTTTATGAAGCTATGAGAATACTTTTTGTGGGCAAAGATAATAATAATAACATAATTTATTCAGCAGTTCTTCTCCCTGAGTTACTGTCTTCTGCCATTTTGGAGAGTACCCCAGAACGTAATCAACGTAATCGGCATTGTTTACGTTCAGTAGACAGCGCGCGCATGCTGAACGTAAACAGCGCTCATTACGTTGATTACGTTCTGGGGTACTCTCCAAAATGGTGGAAGACGGTAACTCGGGGAGAATAAATTGTTATAGGGCTGGGCAAAAAAATCAAATGCGATTTTCATGTGATTCTCGTCAGTACGCTTCTGGTGATTAGTAGTAAATCTCCAGCACGTGCTTTCAGATGGAGCGGCATTTACTACACAGAGCCGTAGATCACTGACAAGCTACACAAAATCGCAGGCGATTTTCATTTTTGGGTGAACTATCCCTTTAATCTTATGAAACATAATTTGCAGGAATTTGCATGGATCATTGTACCCTCAAAGAAATGTGTTGACATTTGCAAACCACAAATTCACTTATGTCAAAGGGTTTGATTATTGATTGATTGATTTAGCTTCAAATCATTTTTTAAATTGAATTTCCATGGTTATTCAGAAATATACTAAACGGACTCTAATGCAAATGCACTGTAAAATTCAGACATTGCTTACTGTTATGTTGAACTTTATTTAGGGTTACTTAAGGTAGCTATTTATTCTGTTTGCTTAATCAATACTTCAGATATTCACATACTCTCAGTTTTTCTATAGCCTAATATGTCTTTCTGACATTGCCAATAGTTTTAAAATAAATGCAAAAGGCTTTAAGAAGTGCAGTTAAATTAGACATATATATATATATATATATCACACACACACACACACACACACACACACACACACACACTTTTTATGTTAAGTAGGCTACTACAAGTTTTCATATGAAAGAAGAAAATATTTATGTATTTATTTAATTGTTTGTTTTTGTTCTAATCTTTAGTATTGTTTCATGTGTTATGTGACTTTTGGCACTCTTTTAAAAATATATGTGCATAAGTTATTCTCAAAAATGAGATCTTTACTTATTGGTGACATGCCCTTGCTGTTTCAGCTCTTAGTTCAGTTGTTCTAGTTCCACCTGGTGGACTGAATGCATATTACAACCAATTTATGTTCAGAGCAGCTGAAGCGTTCGAACAAGTGCTTTCCTGCGTTTCAAGCCTATACAAGCACTGAGCACGAAGAAAACAAAACACACATTGAGAGCAGCTCTCAGGAAAATACTCCGTCTTTTATTTCACATCACAGTCTATTAATCAAAAGCATACCATATGTGAATACTGTAGGTAATGTGTATAAGTATATTTTCACCTGACGGATAAAAATGTTGCCACAAATATGCCAAATATCTCATGGCATGTCTGGGCTGCTTGATGCCATCTCAGTTTGTTTTCATGACTACAGTCACAAAAACTAACAGGGTGCATAAACACTACTCATGCACACTTACACACACACACACACACACACACACACACACACTCAAATATGATTTTTCAAATATGTAATTTATATCTTTGATAGCAAGATTGACACCTTCATTAGTGTGAGCATAGGTGTTATTTAGCACACTTACACCTTACACACACTCTCTCTCTCTTTCTCTCTTCGGTGGCAGCTTTTTCAGATATAATTTCCCCCCATACAAAACGTATTTAAATTAGGGTCTGAAGCCTTCACACCTTCATTGCCCATATAATAAACTTCTTCCTCTTAGTGGCCAGTGGAAAAATGGTTTCCATCACTGTTAACATGAGCATGGTGGCATTTGCCATAGTAAATGTGCTCGTTTCTATTGCCACTATTCTGATGAATTTGTTTTTTGTCCACTGTATTATTTTTTCTCAGAAAGGACCAGTCAACAGCATAAAACCGCTGCTTAATGTTTTACTGTGGTCACTTATTTGATGCAATCTTATTCTTAACATTTTAAATCTTTTATTTGTTTTTTTGGACTTTGTTGATCCAGCTCCATGGATTCACATTCTTTTAGCAGCCGGGATTCTCTTTGCCATGTGGACTGGTTTTACAAGGAATTCAGACAGAAAGAAGAGTCTGTCGACAAATAAGGCACCCTTGCTCTGAATGTGTGTTGCTACTACCAAATTGTTCCTGTATGGCGGCCTTTTTTGATCTGGATGAAGAAGCACATCAGACTCTTTGTGTACTTGGCATTATTTGTCGACAGACTCTTCTTTCTGTCTGAATTCCTTGTGTTATCTGGGAAGTTTCTGCAATGAACTTGAATTCAACAACAGCTCATGTGAACATCACCAGTGAAACAACAGATTTAGGAATCTACATATTCTCACACATAGACTTTTGGATTAGATGTTGCTATTTTTTGCTTTGTCTGGGCATTATGCTGGCATCAAGCAGTGCGACTGTTGTCTACTTGTGGAATCACATAAAGAGAATGGAGGAGAACGCCAGCTCTTTCTCTACTCTTCGTAAAAAGCAGCAGATGAAAGTGACAATCTTGGGCATTATACAGGGTGTCCTCTTCTTTTTCGCTTCAGGGTGGCTCATGACAGAAGAGCTCTTTGCGTATTTTACTGTTTTTATGGATCAGGGCGGCCATTTGATTTGCACTGTCATGGCACTGTACTCTCTTGTAACAACCATCCTTTTAGGCATTGGTCAGTCAAAATTCCGCCTAATGGCTAAAAATATTGGCAGAAAACTACAAACCTGGAAATTCCCTTTTCCCTAATCATTCAGTTTAAGTTATCTCACTTCTGCCAGCAGATAGATCTATAGGCATGATTTAAATGGAAGCGATGTTGGAGCAGCACTCAAACTAAATCAGTATAAAATGTTCTGAAATGTGGATGTTTTCATGCACAAAGTCCTTTATGATTCAGTGGCAATACTGAAAATGGCTTGTGGTTGAAATGATGTAACTCAAGATTAAAACTGTCAGTATAAGAACATCATTTGCAGATATTTGAATGGATATGTAATTCTGTTGACATTTGCAAACCACAAACTCACTTTTGCTCTTTATGCAAAAGTGTAAATGCCGTAAATACATTTATTGAAGACTGAATATATTGAATCATGTTTTCATTTTTAAAAACGTATTTATGTATTTTTGCTTCAAATAGTTTTGATTTGAATTTCTGTGGTGATTAACGGACTGTAGATATTCAGACATTGCTTACTGTTATGTTGTACTCTATCCAGGATTACTGTGTGTAATGTATTTATTCTTTGTTTGCTTAATCAATACTTCAGATATTCACATGCTCTCAGTTCTGTTACAGTTGTCATTCTGACATAACCAATAGTTTTGCATTCTATAAAACATATACAGAGGGTTTAACATTAAAAAGTGCGATTATATCAAAACTAGATTGATGTAAAAAAAGATTAATAAATAATTGTTTTATTTTAATTGCCTATTGCTTTCATTATTTTTTTAAATTTTAATTTAAATGTTTTCTTTTTTAATTTAGACTTTTTTTTGTCCTAATCATCAGTTATTGTTTCCAGTGTTATGTGACATGTGGCACGCTTTTAGAAATATATGTGTAAAAGTTTTTCTCTAAAATGAGATCATTACTTATTGGTGACGTACCCTTGTTGTTTCAGCTCTTAGTTCAGTTGTTCTAGTCCCACCTGGTGGACTGAATGCATATTACAACCAATTTACGTTCAAACAAGTGCTTTCCTGCGTTTCAAGCCTATACAAGCACTGAGCAAGAAGAAGACAAAACACACATTGAGAGCAGCTCTCAGGAAAACCCTCCGTCTTTAGCCACCCTGAAAGAAAAATGTTAGAGATCCAGGGCTGGGACATCACCAGGAACTGCAGAGCACAAATCTGGTTTATGTTAGAAATCATAAAGTATGCTATCATTAATCAATAGTATGTGTGCATTATAAATATGTAAGGATATTTTCACCTGGAGTTAAAAACTTTGCCACAAATATGCCAAATGCTTGATACAGTCTCAGTTGTTTTCATGACTGCAGTAAAAAAAAATAATAAAAAATAATAATAATTATATATATATACAGGTGCATCTCAATAAATTAGAATGTTGTGGAAAAGTTCATTTATTTCAGTAATTCAACTCAAATTGTGAAACTCGCGTATTAAATAAACTACTTCAGTCTGTGTGCATTGAATTGAAGTCTTTGGTTCTTTTAATTGTGATGATTTTGGCTCACATTTAACAAAAACCCACCAATTCACTATCTCAACAAATATAGTTTATTATTTATAGCTATGTATAGTATAAAATGTTTTTAAAAACTACATTAACTATTTAAATGTAGGTATTTGTAGCTGCGTCCAATAAAAGTAACCAACAGGGTACATAAACACTCACTCGCGCCTCGCACGCTCTCTCTCTCTCTCTCTCTCTCTCTCGCT